GTGTGGATGTTTTGTGATGACAACAGTTCCGAGAAAAAGTGTTTTGCTCTTTTGAGTCACAAATTTGTCATCAGGGTGTTGAAATTTCACAATGTCATCTTGCATCTAACTTGAGATTTATGAAGAAACTAAGCGGAGGACCTTGCTCACTCAGATCATGTCTGATAGTTAAAACCATGCAGTTGGATGGAAATAAAAGTGATTTTTTTTTTTTTGGCCTAAACATGTCCGAACATTGGATGAAAACATTAGCATGACTATTTCTTAAAGAGTTGTCTATCAAGCATCGCCTTTTGTGCCATGTTTTAAAGTACGGTGATCTTACATTGAGACATGATGAAGTTATAGCCGTTTGGGAACATCTAGGAAAAATGTTACATGTGATTTCATGTTAGCAATCTGATAGCATTCAAAATGTGTTTAGAATGGCTCTTAGCTAATATCTCAACAGCTTTTAGCTCAATATTTGCTAAACTGACAGAGTTATGGTAATTTTTGTGTTTGTTAAAGTCAGTTGGCTGTGGTGGACATTATGTTTTGTTTTGATTTCAAAAGTTAATCAGTTTTTACATTCAGTGATTATTGCCTGATAGTTTCATTAAAATCTATCCAATAGTTCACAAGATATTTTGCTAACAGACAGTTCGGGTCAACTCTAGTACTAAATGTTAGTTTTAAATAAAACACTTTCACAATCAGCTCTCGAACTTTCTGTTGTAGGTCACTCTGTTTAAAACACAAGAGATATTTTAATATATAGCATCTGAAATGTTGGAAAAGTTATAGCTATTTTCGTGTTAGCCAAGAGAGTTTAGCTGTGGTGGCCATCTTGAACTGGAATGACTCCAAAAGATAAACAGCTGTAGATTCACTTCCAGTGGTTGTTTTTGGAAAGATTCATTAAAACCCCTGGCCCGGGACCTTTCTGGGTGGAGTTTGCATGTTCTCTCCGTGCATGCGTGGATTTTCTCCAGATACTCCAGTTTCCTCTCACAGACTAAAAACATGCATGTTAGACTGACTGGTAACTCTAAAATTGTCTCTTGGTGTAAATGAGAGAGTGAATGGTTGTTTGTCTCTATGTGTCCCTGTGATGGACTGGAGACCTGCCCAGGGTGTCCCCCACCTCGCGCACAGTGATGGCTGGCTTTGGGCACCAGTGACCCCCGTGACCCAAAAAGGAAAAAGCGGGTAAAGATAATGAATGGATGACAGACACTGGCAAAAACATTAATTTCCATGTTAATAAATAACATTATCAGTCATAACACAGTGATTTCCCATATTACATACAACAAATGCACAAAATTAACAACATTATGGAATAACTACTTTAATGAAACAGTTTAGATAATTATTACAGTTAAGTGGCTTGAATTATTGGTTTGCTGTTGCGTTGTATATTAGATATTTGTGCTGCATCACTTTCTAAAGCCAAACACTTTTAAAATGTCTGTAACTACATCTTTTTTATTACCTTATTCTAATTGTAAATTTGACATATACCAATTAGACCGAGCTGTCTCTGTCACTACTTTATAATTGTGCAAAAGTGCACAAAGAAGCTACTAAGACAGAGTAAACTGATTAAGCACAAATCAGTTGAAGTTTGGGCTAAAAACTGTAAAAACCTTTACTCTGTGTCAGCATTATTCTTGTCGTTTTTCTCAAAATAAGAAACATATCTCATGACGCAGCAGGTTCAGCCGTTAGCACTCAGTAACCCTCCATCCGAGCGGCGAAGTACTCTCAGCAGAACATTCTTAACAGTGAGGCAATAAACGGGAGTGCCCTTTAGGCCTTCATTAATTTTTCTCTTTTTGTTTAGTCAGGCCCACCCGAGTCTGTGCTCCGTCACTGAGCCGGTGTTCTCGTGTTGACTCAAAACAGAGACTTTCCGAGTGAGCCCAGCTGAAATATTATCCACAAACGCACACATTAATGTGGGCAGTTGCAGGGAGCTGCAGCGTGAAGAAGCATCCGTCACCAGACCCCCTTTTTTAACTGATTTCTGCCTTTCTGTGGTGTAGATTTGAGAAACTTTGAGGGACTTTACCCGCTGAAACCTTTTGCATCTGGTGTTTCTCAAAAATCAAACGGGGGATGTGAGCGTGAAAAGGTTTTTTAAAAGCTAATGTTTGTAATTCCTGCCACAGCTTATTAAATCCTCGCTGGGCAACGGTGTGGAAGTAACAACTTAATGGGACTGTTTACAGTGAAACCGTACCTTCAGTGCACTGTGGTTTTACAACCTGCTGCAAATTTGTTGCTGCAGTGAGCTCGTTGGAGTTTCTGCTTCTCCACACACAAACACGTTTGGATGAAGGATGAAACGTCTCAGCAAAAAAAACAAAAAAAAAAACAATGTCCAGATGACCTGACTGAACGTTTTTAAAACCAGTTTTGTTGCTTTTTTTGTTTTTATTTCTCGCATCTTGGTTCTAATTTCTGCTCTCCAGGTCTGTCCTCTCATTCAAGATGGTAGCCTCACTTGTTTTGATGCTTTTTAGTACAAAAATGTGCTTTCACAACAGAAAGCTCGTCATTGGTTTCTAATAATTTTCAATTTAAAGCTTAGAAGTATTTGAAGAAATGTCTTGAGTATAGAAATGACAGGTTTAGAGCAGTTTTGGTTGAATCTTGATAATAACATTATTCCCCTCCAGTATAGGTGAAAACTAAAAACAACAATCTATCAGTCATGTTCTGAATTCAGGTATTAATTTGCAAAGTTTGGCCCAGCGCCGATTAAACACAGGTGTAAGATCTGAAGTTTCTTTTACAAACTGCAGACACTGATGGACTGCTTAATCTGCTCAGAAGATGCTCAGCAGATGCAGACAGAGGTAAACAGCTGTGCAAGCTTTACCCCAATACAAGAAAAACCCCAAAAAGCTAATTTATTTTCATACTGCGTCAAAAGTTCAAGTTCTGATATATAAATCGCACCTTTTGACACGCTTTGATTCATAACTGCTCTTTTTTATGTTTTGTGTTTGCAGCTAAAGCTCAATATGAAGAAATATAGTTGAACCGAATTATTGGTTTGCAGACTGGAAGAAAACAACAACAAGCAATTTGTTTTCTTTTTATGGAACTGTCACTTTTCATTTTTTATCCATTTTGTTAGTTTTAAAACTGATTTTTATAGGTCTGCTGTTTTCTAGATGATTGCGGTTGTAGTTTGCCTTATTGATTATGGAGGATTTTTGTCTTTTAATACCTGTATGCGTAACAGAACCACGACTAGAACATTTCTTGTGAGCCTTTTCCTAACTAGACTTTGTGCATACACATGAAAATTCATATGGAGAGGGTTACATGAAGTTCATCCAACCAGGTGCTTAACCTGAATTATATTTATCAAGATGAAAAAAGTAGATAGTGTAAAGTAAGCTTTAATTTGCTTTATTGAAGGTGTTAATTTATGGTGGCTTTTTGGATGAGGAGAAAAGAAAAGGTTTTTATGGCAACAATCTAATTGTCCAGGATAAGTCAGGCCATCTGGACGAATTTCTCTGTGTTGAAACGTTTCGTCTTTTATCCAAAAGACTTCTTCAGTCTGAAACCCCGTTCATTCTGGATCTTGCTTGTCTGACGGAAGATTTGAGTTGCAGGCGATTGGGAAAGGTGCCATTCTGTCTGCATGTGAGGTTGAACCTCAGGTGGTAGTCCGCCCTCTTCCTTGCTGTTTGCTCAAACTCTCAAACTAGTTTGAGACAATCCTGGTCAAAGTGGTTCACAATGTCCTGATGCATGCTCAATAATCCAGGTAGAAAAATCTAACAAGGTCAAGTCAGGTCATCTGGACAGAATCCTCTTTGATGAAACGTTTCGTCTTTTGGATCAGGTGCTAAATCACATGGATACACAAATGCTGCTGCATGCTGAACATAAAAAGAAGCACATTTTAAGTTGTGGTTAAATAAAGTTTCAACTTAAGTGCTATGAATGTCTTGCCATACTGGAAGAATGTGTTTAGGTAAAGGACTGAAAATAATTACGTTTAGAGACAAGGTTGGTGAGATTCCTTTGCAGAATGCAACTGGACAACTGCACCAAGAAAAAGAAGTTCAGTACATTATTTCTAGCATTTAAGAAGGGGACAAAAAAAATTAAGACAAAAAGAACTTAAATAAAGGGAGCTTGAACTGAATATAATTTGAAATCTACCATATTTATCTGGTTATTTACTGGATAAACAATGTGTTATGTCAATGTAAAATTAAAAAAAGCCAGCTTCCTGTTTTAAAACAAAAATACCAATGTATTTGGTGGATTGCTGATGAAGTCAGTTCAGTTTTCATCTGTATGAAACTGAACAGAGAACATTCCTGTCTCCCTGCTGTATAAACTGAACGGCGCCTCTGCAGACTGAACTTGCCTGCCTTGGCTTTGAGCCACACTTGTATAACATATCATGCACAATCACAAACTATGAATATAACGTCATCACAAAAAGAAAAAGTAGCATCTCACTCATTCCTATATCAGATAGGTCTAATTTCATCAACACTGCCCCCACAAATATTTTTGTTCAGCAACCAGAACATCAGCTAAGACTTTCAATTTTTGTAATTTACAAGACAAATGAAAGGTTTTCACCTGCATTTCATTTTGAAGTGGGGACAATTTTTAAGAAGTATAAACATATTTTTTTTTAAAGTAAAATGTGAAATAACCATTTAAATACTGCTTTGTAAAGATCTACAACTTGCTGTACTTTTGTTAAGCGCTATCTGCAGAAAGCAGCTGTCAAAGTCAGCAGGAAAAATCATACGTCATGTCATAATAGCGCCCTCTCCTGGCAGAAATTGACAACGCTGCGTTTCACAAGTCTAAATTCTGAATAAAGGTTGCCCTGTCATTCTTAAAAGTTATTTAAAATAAACCTTAAACATTATTTAAACCAAAAATTACCAACACTTTTTCTGTTCAGCTTCAGCTGCTTCTCTGCAGTTCCAGGAGCAGCTCTCTGATTGGTCGCGTTCCTAGCGTGATGACGTACTTCCTGTTTCGCTGTAGTGACACGTGCAGACTCCGTGTCTTCAAGCTAACAGGGAGGAAAAACATTCAACGTCAGTTTTCAGACACCCTGGTCTGATTTTGGGTTGTTTTTTGTTTGTGGGAAGTCTTGCTAAATAAGTGTTCAACATGGTGAAGCCACGGTTCAAGGGGAAAAGCTCGATAAACCCCTCGACGTCCAGCTCCAACCCCGGTAAGCTACCGTTTGTTTACAGCTAATGCTAACGTGGCTAATCGGTGTACAGTACTGTCATAAATTTGTGTTTGGTTTAGTTTTTTTATGGGTAAAATAAGCTTATGGAAATACTCACAACGTTTTGAACAATGGCACATAAGATAACCTAAATAAAGATTATTTTAGTTTAACAATATGTTGCACACAATTCTCAAGTCTTAAATTTATTTACTGATCAAGGAGACAAAAAGATATTTAAATATTTTAACCTTGAAGTCTACAAGAAACCAATTTTGCTTGTTTGAAAATGCATTAGTTGCTATATATAGTTTCATTTTTTGAGTAAGTTTATTGATGTCAAATTAGTTAATTATTGATTTAAAGGTAAAATTGGCAAAAATGCTTTACAACTTGAAATCTCCATGCCCCACTGACACTTAATTAATCAGCCACTTTATTACACAGCATTAAAAAACAACAATGCAAGCTTTTTGTAGATGAATTATGTTAAGTCTAATAAGTTGTATGTTAACTTATTAAATATAGGTTTGCTTGATTAAAAACTGGTAAATGAATGTTGCAACTTTTTCACAGATCGACCCAAAGGAGCTGGTGGGAACAACATGAGGGACCGAGCCACTATCAACCGTCTGAATATGTATCGACAAAAGCAAAGATGGTAATGAGTGATACTAAATTACATTGTAATTTGAAGTTTTCTGGTGAAATGTAGTAGTAAGTGTGTTCACACTGATCCTGTGCTTCTGTTCCCAGTAATAAGCATGGAAAAGTCATCAAACCTTTACAGTACCAGTCGTCAGTAGCTTCCGGAACAGTAGCGAGAGTTGAACCTAATATCAAATGGTTTGGTGAGTATATTTTCTGGCTATTGTCTATGCTATTGTATGGTAATCTGCAGATTTTAGAATATTTTTTATTTGTTTTATGGTTGAAAACTTTTGCTGCTGTGCAAATTTATTGACAGTTGGCAGGATGACGTCTTTGTGTCTGAAGACAAAACTGGAGATGAAGACAACTGAACCTCATGCCATGAAATATTCTGTATATGTATTTTTTTGTTGAATGTTTCTAACCAAATAACTGCACTTGTACATTCAACTATTGAACCAGAGAGCACTGAATATCACTTTATGTTAAATAAACGGGTAAAAAAAATCAATTAGAATGTGTCTCACTGATTGACACACATGCTATGCTTTGTTGTAATAAAGCACAATCCCCAAACCATCCATCCATTATCTTTACCCGTTTATTCCATTTTGGGTCACGGGGGTCACTGGTGCCCATGTCCAGCAATTACTGTGCGAGGGGCGGGGTACACCCTGGACAGGTCGCAAGTCCATCACAGGGCCACATAGAGACAAACGAGACAAACAACCATTCACTCTCTCACTCACACCTAGGGACAATTTAGAGTTACCAATCAGCCTAACATGCATGTTTTTGGTCTGTGGGAGGAAACCGGAGCACCCGGAGAAAACCCACGCATGCACGGAGAGAACATGCAAACTCCACCCAGAAGGCCCCTGGACCGGGGTTTGAACCAGGGACCCGTTCGCTGAGAGGCAGCAGCTCTACCAGTTGCGCCACCGTGCTGCCCCAAACCATTACCTATATTTATAGATTTTTTGGGGGGTCTTAAATTTCATTGAAGGCGGCATTAAAAGAGTTTAAAGTCTTAAATTTAACTTGCTGAAACCTGCAGATGTCCTGGAGTTGTAAGAGTCAGCTGAGGCACAAACAAGCATGCAAACAGTACAGCTGAGATGTTTAATAATTTCACGATTTATTGATTACACACAACACAGATGCAAATGTATGTATGTCTCTGTGTGTGTTCAGATGAGAAGCTGTCTTCCTGGTTTCCTGTAGAACATATATTTGATCAAATTATTTTCATTCAACCTTTATTTAGACAGGTAATCCCATTGAGCCTTGAGGACTCATTTACAAGAGACCTGTAAATTATGTTTGCCCTGAAAGAAACATTTTAAGTAACTTTATATATGCTGTAATTTTATTTGCAGATGTCTGCAGAACAATGACTCGATAACCCAATTTCAGAGGTTTTATTGCTGTTTCTTTAACTCATCAATGCCTTAGAAGTGATAATGGACAAACTGATGAGACATAGGTTTGTAATTATGATTAGTAACAAGAAATCTTGACCAGAATATTCTCAATATTTTTTTTTTTTTTTAGCAAACACCCGGGTGATCAAGCAGTCATCTCTTCAGAAGTTTCAAGAAGAGATGGATGCAGTACAGAAAGATCCATATCGTGTCGTAATGAAACAAAGTAAACTTCCTATGTCTCTGTTACACGACAGAGTCAAAGCTCATGTGAGTATAAAGTATAAGTGAGTATAAAAACACTATTAACCCATTATGTTTTTTAAAAAAAATGAAGAAAAAATACAAACGTCTGTATTTTTTGTGTTTATTTTTTATTATTTATTTAATTTTTATGCTGCATATGGTGGGGTGGGGGGTGGGTGCTGTTTATAAATCGCTAGATATTTATATTCAGTAACGTTGCAGGAGCAAGTAAGCTTTTCAGTCTTGCTTTTATCGAGCGTTCCAGCTCAGGATTAGGGCTCTTTTGTGGATAGTTGATTTTATTGAGTTTTATGAGGTGAAATGAACTAACGTCTCTCTTTAATCATCATTCAGTTCTGACATTTTATATGAGACAGTTCTTTTTTTTTTGCCAAGCTTCAACATTTCCAATCCAGCATCAGGACTATTTCAAATAACATAAAGTTATCTTTGTTGTTGTGCCATGGACTTTAATTTCTCTTGAAAACAGGACGTCTTATAAAAAAAACTGAAGCAGTTAGATGTACTTGTGTATTTTTTATTTTTTTTGTTTTGCAACCAATTATCAGAAGTTCCCTTTAGTAACAATAAACACACAGTCAGAATTAGTTTCTTATGATCTTTACTCAGTGCTTTGCAAGAAAGTGTAACTATAAAAATGATTTACCAATCAGACATGTCATATAAACACTGTGAGGGCCTTTTGAGTAATAACGGTGAGGTCAACGTGTTGTGTTCCTGTGGGTTAGTTTTAATCACCAAAATAGACTGTTCTCTTAGAACATCTTTTTCCTGTATTGTTGCAGAACTCCAAGGTGCACATTTTAGACACAGAGGCTTTTGAGAACACATTTGGACCCAAGGCTCAGAGGAAGAGGCCCAGTCTCATGGTTGAAGGTGTGAAGGATCTTGTGGAACGAGCAGAGGCGTCAACGCTGAGCTACAACGCAGACAAAGACAAAGACCTGGTAACGGAAGACACAGGGGTCCGGTAAGATTCCCACTTATTTTAATACATATATAAGTTGTCAGAGGTTGTTGAATTGCTAACATAAATTGATGTTTATTCTGATTGCTGCAACAGCGAAGAAGCACGTGAGGAGATTTTTAAAAAAGGACAGTCCAAAAGGATCTGGGGAGAACTTTACAAGGTAAAAGTTTGACACCTCCACTCAGTGTTTACAGCTCGTTTCTGCTTGTGTTGTTCGTATTTGTAGCAGCACCTTACCAAATGACCAAATCACAGGCACAGTCCTACATTCAGCTGCAGAGTCTACACCACTTGTTTAACTTTAGGGCCTACGTTTAAGGAAAAATCAGCTTCTATGTGCAGTGGTGGTTTACTTTAAAACTGAGGAAAGGAATCAACATTAAATAAGGTGCGTTGCCTCTGCATGTGTTTATATTTATATGTTTTTTTAATTGAACAGGTGATTGACTCATCTGATGTCGTCATCCAAGTGCTGGATGCCCGTGATCCCATGGGAACACGATCCAAGAACATCGAGACATATATCAAGAAAGAGAAAGCCTGGAAACATCTGATTTTTGTGTTGAACAAGTGTGACCTCATCCCCACCTGGGTCACGGTGAGGTTCTTAAGAGTGTTCATCTTTGGTTTTGACCTTTATGTCTTTTTAAATTATGACATTGTGACTGTCTGTTTTTCCTCTGATCATGTTTGAACCAGAAACGCTGGGTAGCTGTTTTGTCCCAGGAGTACCCGACTCTGGCTTTCCACGCCAGCTTGACCAACTCTTTTGGTAAAGGCTCTCTCATCCAGCTCCTCAGGCAGTTTGGGAAGGTAAACAAATGGCTCCAATTCAAAGATCCTTGATTTGTTTTTAATGCAACGTCAGACTGCAAGTACATAAAGAAGCAGAACAAGACTAACCAAACTGTTCAGTTTTAGCAAATCTTAAAACAAGAACACATTATCATTATTATTATTAGGGGGTTCTGTTCAGATGCCAATATTATCGATTATCACAGGGTTCATTTAACAGCTTTGAATGGTTTGATGTGATTAATTTAGTACTTTTAGGAAGGTTGGTTTTGGTTCTTTTGTTTTGAGAAGATTTATTCCACAAGTGGTGATTCATCATTGGATAGCGTTTGCATTTTGTCCTTTACCTAAATGACCCTCGTTTGTTATTGATTATGAGTAAAGAGTTTGAGGATCAAACGTTAGGCTGAAACAAGTCAATTCCAGCAGCTTTGGCTTCATCACTTTTCTTCACACATTATAATCACAGTCCAAATGAGGCACATATTTTCACCCTCTAGTAATTATAATCCCTATTTATTTGTGTTTTAAAGTGACTTTTCTGTTTTTGAAGTAGTTGAGAATTTGAGACGATTTTTGAACATTCTACATTCATCACCAGTCACATCATCATTAACCACCAATAATCTGTTCCTCTGGCAGCGACGCTTTAACTCTGACTCCAACATGTTTGACTGATGATGTGGTACGCTTCACATCGTAAAACCCTTCTTTTGCCTCACATATCCCCAAAATACTGCCAGTTTCATCTTTCCAAATATCTTTTTCCAGAAGTTGATGTTTGCGCAGTGCAGTGTGCACTTTTTTTTTCCTCATGTGTTGGTGGTGGTTAGCTTGTTGGACTTACACTGGAGGCAAAAATGACATTTACATACACCTAAAACAGCAAGTGGTTTGGTGAATCAAAAATATTGTCTCTAAGTAATCTTTTTACTTTAAAAGGTACTTTACCACATATCATATTTATAACACATTAAAAGCCACTTTTAGACATTCTCTTGTGGTGTGGCAGTTCTGGGAACACAATATGTAAAAGCTTCTAATGGTTTGAAAATCAAATAACAAAATCTTGTGGCTGTTTCAAACTTCATTGTAACTATATGGATAAATAAACCAATTATTGCTTTTCTGATGTCGTTTAAGATGTATCGAGTTACATTTGTATATTCAGGAGGAACATTTTTTAAGCTGTCAGGGTGCTTTTTGTTTGTTTTTCACAGCTTCACACAGACAAGAAACAGATAAGCGTGGGCTTCATTGGCTACCCAAATGTAGGAAAGAGCTCAGTCATCAACACTCTTCGGTCTAAGAAGGTCTGCAACGTGGCTCCCATCGCAGGAGAAACTAAGGTGAAGTTGATGTGTCATCTGTTACACACAGACTGCAACGTGAGAGGAGAAAAGTATCAAATCAGTAACACTGCAAATCCATCCCCAAGAATCAACTTAAAATTAATATTTAAGGTGACCACAAAAGACTTGCATGAATAATTGTATAAATACAATGTGGCTTTTATTTGTATAAAACCGTCTAGAGCTGTGATATAGAGGGAAGTTGACAGAAATAGTCTTTCAGGCTGTCATATTCAATAAATGTTGATAGCTGCAGCAGCAACATTTAACTCGAGGCTGTTTAACTATTTGGTGTCTGGGCTACGAGAAATAATCATTTGCCATCACGTTTATTTTTGATTTTATTTAGTTTATCATATTTAAAATATAAGACAACTAAAATCCAAAGACTTTGCACATATCCAGATAATCTGATAAGACTGAAGTCACCAACAAATGTCAGTTTTATTTCTATAGCACATTTAAATAAAGTTGACTGTGCTTTGGAATTTAGTTAAATAAAACGTTAAAAACAATAAAAGCAATAAATAAGTTTAGAAACAATAAGAACATGTAAAATATAGGCCTGTCACGATGAACAATAAATCAATTAATCGCATGATAAATGAAAATTATCGACATCGTTTTCATTTATTGGCTTTATCGTTTCTTCACGTCTCTCTTTCTACTGAAGACACTGGATGACAAAACGCTCAACTCTGGTGCTCTTCACTGGCCCCCCTCCCTTTCTCTTTTCTCTTTAAAATCTGTTTTAACCGTCCAAAATAGCGGTTTTGGATCGTTAAAAGCAGCTAAGCTGAAAAGCTAAGCTAACAAGCCGACCTCTGGAAAAAAAAAACTCCGTCTTGTCGAAGCTCCAAAATTCACGGTTGAAACATGTACCTTCGTGTAAAAAGTTGTTTTTCTCTGCAAAAAGAAACTGAAAACTTGTTTACTGATTTTTTTTATTTTTATTTTTTATTAAAAGCTTTGTATGAAAAATGCTATGCTAAAGAACTCAAATCACACTGAGTGTCAGCCATTTTAAGAATCAAAAAACAAGTATGACAGACAGCCCATGTCACGTCAAGGGGCCTCCCTCCCATTTTTCTCAGAGGCACGCTGCTGCTTCCTCACTATCCATCCTTTCGTTCAAACTGTCTTATACTGCCATCCAGTGGTTGAAAAAAGGTACTACATGCAAAACAAATGAACAAACATTTCTTCTTAAATTTGACAATAATTACTAATTATTGTCAAATTTCAAACAATGTTATCGTTAATTGCAATAATTTCTGAGACAATTAATCGCCCAGCAACATTTGTTATCGTGACAGGCCTAGTAAAATATTAAATAAAATACTAAATATCTAAAAACAACATAAAGCTTTCATCTCTGTTAAATGTTTTACACTTCGTAACTCAAACACCAAGTTGGAGATTTTTTAGAACCAGTTAAAAGACAAGCTGCTGCATTCTGGACAGTTTGTAACTTGGAGAAGATTTATTTAAACCAGCATACAAATACAAAGGGCGGCTGTGGCTGAGTGGTTAGAGCAGTCGTCTTCCAACTGTTGGGGGTTCAAATGCACCCGCAGTCACAGGCCGAAGTGTCCCTGGGCAAGACACGTACAGAACCCCTCAGTGCCCCATCAGTGTCTGAATGTGATCTAAAATCACTGATTATTCTCTTTAGAATGATTTCGAGGGAGATAAGCCTTTATTGTCCACCTTGTCTTCACATTTTTTCAAATGCTGCACGTTAGAGCGGAGCTTTTCTTCATCGTGGGATCATTTTTACAGTTCTTGTTAAGAATGGTTCAAAATTTGTTTAGCTTTTTATAACTGATCGTTTTTAAAGTGTGACATCAAATGTTTGTGGGGAAAATATGAATGCCTTGTTGGAAAGATAATGTTAAGAACATATTGCAAAAACAATTTCACGCTGCTGAGAACATTTGTTGAGATATTTGCATGTGCAGTTACAGGAAGTGACAACAAAGAGGAATCCCTGCATGTGACCAGAGTGTTGCTTCAGTAGCTGACAACAGAGACGGCAGCAGAGAATCTTATGCTTCTAAATTATCAGAGAGAGATGAAGAAAAGTCAGAGACCTTAAAGACCTTTTAAAGATTACTCTTTCACTTTGGTTGTGCCAAGTTCAAAAGAAAAGTTGCCGTTTCTGTAACAAAATGCATAAAATCATGTATATTATGCCAAATTTCTTAAATATTAAGATGTATTCCACTTTTTGTATTTGTAGGATATGCATGTCACAGGCACTTTAGAATAGAATGTTACTGTCATTTGTACAAGTTAAAACCGGTACACTGGTGTTCTTGTGCATATTTCTCCAGGTTAAATCAAAGGCTAAAGGATGATGAATGTGATGAAACATTACATAGAGATAGTCTGTGACTTCTAACAAGGTGAAAATGATCATTATTGTCCTCCTGGCTCTTGTAGGTGTGGCAGTACATCACTCTGATGAGGCGTATCTTTCTCATTGACTGCCCCGGTGTCGTTTACCCGTCAGAGGACAGTGAATCTGATATTGTCTTGAAAGGAGTGGTAAGTGTTCTAATTTTCAGGTCTGAAGTTTTACAGCAGGGCTGTTCAACTGGCGGCCCGGGGGCCAAATCAGGCCCACAGGTGTGCTCAGCTCGGCGCACCAATGGATTCATTTTTAAATAAAACTAGATTTAAAATTGTAAAACAACCTTACTTGATGACGACTGCTGGATGTCCTGGGCTTTCGGTAACTGTGCCCCCCTGAGTAATTTAGTTGAATAGCCCTGTTTTACAGGTATTTTATTACACAATCTTCCTGAAACCTAAATGTTGCAACGAGAATAAAATTGTGCATGCTGTGCTTAATGCTGAAAAATGAAACTATATATGAAAAAACATATCCATCAACAGTGTATGGGGTATCATAGCTGAAAGGAATGTTTACATGAGAAAATTACTTTAAAGTGGATTTGATTAAGAACGTCTTACCTGATTTTAGAAAAACACCTTTGATCATCTGAGATTCAGAGCCTGAAGATCATTTAGAGTTTAAAGGTTTACCAAGGGAGCAGTTCGTGTTGTACATTTCTTCTTCTCCGTTTCTTTGCAAAGGTTCAAGTAGAGAAGATCAAGAATCCAGAAGAGCACATCGGTGCCGTACTGGAGCGAGCCAAGCCCGAGTACATTCAGAAGACTTACCGTGTCCCTACATGGACGTCTCCTGAAGACTTTCTGGAAAAGCTGGCGTTTCGTTCTGGAAAACTTCTGAAGGTCGTTTTTGTTTCTTTGCATTTTGAGGAATTCTACAACACAATGGAATCTGATATGCTTAGAGTGCTGATGCTATTTCTTTTGTTTTGTTTTCTCTCATTGTGGTGGTACTAAACACAAGTGTTGATTAGTAATTAAAACCTTGTTTACAGGGTGAAGAAATCAGTTTGAAATTGTTTCAAAATTTGATGTTTGTTTTAACCAACCACGTTATGAAGTTCACAAATGTTCTGTCTGGTGAAAAACATGTTTGTTTGTATTTTGTGTAACTCGCTTCACATCATTGTAGTCTTTCACTTTAACTTTGGTTTGAATGACTTAAACTGTAGGTGAATTAATCCATTTTAAACCGGAGCATTGTTGTATCCGTTTCATGCAGGGGGGTGAGCCCAATATCAGCACAGTCGCCAAAATGGTGCTGAATGACTGGCAGAGGGGACGCATCCCCTTCTTTGTGAAACCTCCTGGACCTGAGGGAGATCAAGACGTACGTGTTATCAGAACTCATCAGAACTTGTCGCCAGCCTGCGCCTTTTGTCTAAACCTGCTTTACTGACATTTCTCCAGGATGAAAACACGTTTGCAGCTGAAGGACCACCAGCTCTAATGGAGAATGTGCCGGAGGAGCAGCCGGACAATCCTGACACCGTCTCAGGGGAGCAGGAGGAACAGCTACAGAGACAGAAGGATCAGGTCCAGAAGATCCTCTCTAACGTCCGGCAAAACTTTGGAAAAATCAACGTGGCGCCAGAGTTCAACGAGGAGGACTTGATTCCAGTGGAGATGCCAGACCTGGACTTGTCTGACAATGATGAAGACGGTGAGGAAGATGGCGGTGCGGAGGAGGATGAGGCTAATGTTGAGCCATCAAAAGAAGAGACTGAGGTCTCGGAGGCTACAGCATCTCAAACTTCAAAATCAAACAGCAAAAAGAGTTCACGGGAGGTTATTCGTGAGCTCGACGAGAAAATTACCAAGTACAAGCAGTTTCTGGATCGAGCCAAATCCAAGCACTTCTCTGCAATCAGGTCAGTTCTTAAGTTCAAATCTTACGTTGCATATTTTCTTTGTCTTGGACTAAACTCAACTTTTATTGTATTCAGTGATAAAATGTCAGGCAGACAGATGCCATGCATAAGAGTTCTTCTTCGTACTCATTTGCTTTCTGTTACCACAGTGTGTTTGCATTTTATTTTCCCTTTTTAAATTTCAGCCCACAGACTTGGCAAGACAGTAGTCCCTCGCTACTTCGCGGTTCGTTTATCGCGGTCTCGCTTTATCGTGGTTTTTCAAAATAAGATTGGACATGACACACAATTACCTGCTTGATGGATGAGCCGCACGATCGGCATGGAATTTTCATTTTAAATAAATTATTTAAAATTATTTAGCACCTGCTGCACCTCTGTGCAGCCCATACTGCAGGATAAACTTCCTCCTGCAGCTGATCAGCTGTTCTGCTGCAGAGCGGAGAAGTGGGCGTGGCCGAGAGCGCTTGCAGGTGGCTGAGGGCAGCGGAGGCACAGAGAGTGAAATCATGACATGCTGTGCTCTTTTAGAGCTTCAGAGTTTAGAAACATTGTTTAGAATATTGCAAGAATGTGGGAAGGGTTTAAAACTTCTTAATCTCTCTCTCTATATATATATACAGTATATATACTAAAATAAACTACTTAGTACTTGTACTATTCCTACTTCTCGGTTTTTCACTTATCGCGGGTCTTCATGGTACGGATCCCCCGCGATAAATGAGGGACTACTGTATATTCATATCTCAGCCTTTTAGTCTGATTTTGTTTATTTTAGAGCAGCGGTTCACAAACCTTTAGATTCTGGCCAAAGAAAATAATAGTAACAAAATGTGTGACCTCATCTATTTGCAGTTTTATTTAGACAATAAAATGCTACTTACTCTATTAATTAAGGGCAGAATTATAACACAGTCTTTTTTTTTTTTTTTTTTTTTTTTTTGTGACAGTCTTAATATCTATAATTATATTTATTTTATCAATTTAGATCAATTTTTTTTAATTGTTTGTAAAAATGATGGTGTAAATAAATCATAACCGGTCATTTCAAATGTACTTTGATATCTGGAGATGATCTAAAGAGCCCTATTTGCTCACATTGTTGTCCTGACCTCAAGTTTGGGAAGCACGGTTTTAGACGATTTCAAAAGAAAGTTGGCTTTGTTTGGTAAAATCAACAGAATATTTTTCTTCTTTTTGAACAGGATACCAAAGGCACTCTCTGACAAACTGTTCACAGACATGAAGACTAAACAAGCAGCAGCCAAACAAGCCCAGAAGAGAGGAAACCAGTCGACGGGTATGTTTATGGTTTTGAATTTGGAAATATAAAAAAAAAATATGATGAAGAATGTGGTAGAGAATCGTTTTCTACGGTACCTCCCTTTGGCTGGGTCAGGTCGACATTTAAGCGCTGACAACAGATTTGTCCATCTGTCTTCAAATTCAGCTGCAAACCAGAAGAGCAAGAAGAGGAAAACCGAGGATGACGAGGAGGCGACAAAGACGCGCAAACTTACGTCCAAACAGGTTTCCTGCATTTGTTTTTACTAATATCAGACAAGACAGTCTGTCTGAGAGGACACTGAATGTCTTTTTAAATCGGGAAAGTTTAAAAAAGGTTTTAATGCTGTCTTTTTATCCATCCACAGAAAAGAGCATTGGACCGTGCTAAGAAGGTGAAGAAAGTCGGGGTGCGTTATTATGAAACGCACAACGTGAAGAACAAGAACAAGAACAGAAAGCTCCCAACAGAGGGTCAAACGGCTAAAAGATCAAAGCAGTAGCCTGATAAAAACGCCTCAGTGTCTGTATTTAAATGAGACAAGTACATTTTATTGAAATGACAAATTAACAGAAACTAATAAAGCTGAATGTTGAATAGTGTTTGTCAGACGGTCGTGCAGCCACAAGAAAATTCAACATTGCCTTGTCAGCTTTTTTCTCCTTTTTACTGAGAACTGTCAGAATCAATCGTTCACAAGTGCACTGCTTTTATCGATAAAGAGAAATGTGCAGTTTGTTGATGGTTTGAAGTACACACAATAAAAAAAAAACATTCAGACTAATGTATCAAACAGATGTAAGAGCAGTTATAAATTTTATAAAATCCTGTGTAAAACAGACAATGAGGCCCTTGGGTTTTTATTTCTAGGGTGCAAATTTTCCCTCCAGTTGATTCTGGAAAAAGAAAGACAAGATTACAATTAATTAAATATTTCACACGAATGAAACAAAAGCAAATGTTTTTCTGGCCTGTTTCGAAAACGTCACCTGGAGCTGTTCATTTGTTTTCTTAAGGAATTGGATTTTTTCAAGGAAGTTCTTTTCCTGCACTTGTCTCTTTTCAGCTTCTCTCTTTTCAAGGGCATCACATTTGGCTTTCTGACTGTTTAGCTGCTGTGTCAGATCTTGTATCTCATTCTCCAGATCTGCAATCTGTTCGTGTAAAACATTCGATGCAAGGCATTAAAATCCCATTTGTTTAGCATTTGTAAAATAAGAAAACGGTGCCCTCTGGTGGACTTATTACAATACACTTGTTAGTTTTTACTCAAAATAACAATAATTTACCTTTTTCTCTTGGTCATTTTTTTCTTTCTCAGCCTGCAGTGCTTTCCTCATACCAAATGCTATGCTGCTTTCGTACAATGCCTGGTAGGCAGCCAAAGTCATATTTATCTCATTTCTGACTCGTAGCAGCAGCAGACCCCTCTCAGCACACATGATGGTGACGTGTCTGATTAGTTCATCTTAAAGACATGTAAAAATTGAGTTGGTATTTAATCCAGTCAACTCCAGCAATGGATATATCAAAACGTGCTATAAAGAATGCCTGTAGGTGTGAATGATGAGCATCTCGACTGCGTCCTTACCGAAACATTGACAGTAAAGCTCTCTGCGCACAGGACAGATGCCCGTTTGTCTGGCCTGTCTTTGCTGCAGCTTTGTGTCCAGGAGTTCCTCCAAGCGTACAACATCTGTTCTGGTACAGGGTGCACTGGACACTTTCTGCACCCATGTCTCGTTTCCCTCTGTCCATTCCCTGCATTACCAGAGGTTGATGGGTCTGAAGTCAACTTACAATTTACTGTAAATTCAGACACTTTACCTGGGTGGAAGTATGGTGTGCAGGATGTCCTCGTTCTCTAGCTCTTGGCTGGAGGAAGATTTTGGGGTAGAAGGTGGAGTGGGTGCAGGGCTGTCTGACAACTTAAAGCTCATTCTTAAGTGTCGTCTCTGTAATAATAATAAAAATTATATATATATAAACTACATGTTGCGTATATTCATCTTCAGGTGGCATTCAATTCAGATTTTTTTTTTATTTCTAACCTAAAGCTCTCATCAACCAAACTCCTTAAAGATCTTATTGTTCCATATTTTCCACACAGAGCTCTTTGCTGTCAGATTGTAGGTTTATTAAAGATTCTTCGAGTTGTGAAACGTAAAGGAAGGCAGAGCTTCTGGTTTTCAGCACAATAGGCTTGGTTAGGACTGTTGCTTATCAGCAAGAAGGTCCTGGGTTCAAGCCCCAGTTTGCACATGGAATCTTTGTGTGTGGAGTTTGCATGTTCTCCTCAGTTTCTACTTCAATTTGCAATTATTTCCATCATTGACATGTTTTTTTTTTTTCTTTCCTATAGAACCTTTTGTAAGTCAAACTCACTCACAAAAGGGGACCAAAATTAAAAACTGTTCAAACTAAGGGTCAATTACAAAAACTACATTAACTCAAGTCAGACACCCAACATCTTCTCTTGATCACATGTTCCTCAACAAGAGTTTGATTGGTCTCATTTGACGTTCTCTTTTGCGCTTTCCACGTGATAATCAAAGATTACTAAAACAATTCAAGTGATAACACTAGTTTTCGTTTAACATAGCATCTTGGGGGCCAGAGAAAATGTTAACGAAGGCCACTTTTGGCCCCCGGGCCTTGAGTTTGACACATGCTATAGAAAGTACTCGTAGACCAGCCATTTAGAGTAGATATTTCGTTTCTGTCCTCTTTATCCCCAGCCAGGCGAGGCACATCTTGGGGCCAGTTCTGCTGGAATTTTTTTCCTGTTAAAAGAGAATTATTCCTTCTCACTGTCGCCAGTGGGCTTGCTCAGGATGTGACAAAGTGGAGACTTGACACAGTCTGCTGACTTCTTCATATGACTTAATTTTATAATGCATGCGAATCTTATTGTACGGTGCCTTGAGGTGACATTTCTTCTTGAATTTGCACTATATTCGCTTCATGGTTTGTTCTTTTTTAAATGTTTGTCTTCCCTACTTGGCACAAATTTAACCGAACGCTACTGCTTGTTAACGGAGCTCGAATATCCAACGTAAAACTAACTTTACTGCGGTTTGCTTGTTATTCGACTCACCTTCGGTGATTTGCTCTTTGTGCTTGTAATCAAAACTGGATTGTCGTACTTCAAGAGTGTTTCGGCTGGTGGAATCATTGTATTTTTCTTTTTGAATAATAATTTAAAAAAGCCAATGATTTCCCTCAAAAAAATCAAAAAACATACATCGGAGGTCTTTAAAAGTTTGCGTCTGTTTGTGTTGTTATGGTAACAACGTCAGTTCCTGAACATAAATAGCGATAAAAAATAAAAAAAAGGTTTAAAACATTAATATTTAAAATATAACCCCAAAAAACTGCCTGGTGTTTAATTTTAGAATTGTATACGTTTTATTGCATGCGCAGTTAAGTTGTATTTAAAAGAAAAACGTGTTTAAAAAAAAACAACGAGTCAAACGGAACTAATAGTTAAAGGGGACAGTTTTACCCGGAGATGAACTCCTAGCAAACAAAGGAAACGGAAGTGCGTGTTCCAGCGCAACGAGAAGTTTGGTAATCGTTTGAAGATTTTTATTTATTTATTTTTTGGTCCGTGTTTGTGTGGAAATTACACGTTCAGGTTGAATTATATTTTATTCGACAATGGCCAAAGAGAAGCGACACAGGAGGAGGGAATCTCCGATGCGGGAGCCGGAAGTGAAGATAAAACAGGAGAAAGTGAGCCCCACTAGGCCGCAAAGATCACGCCGTTCCAGGTCGAGATCCGTCGACAACTCCAGCCCACAGAGGAGAAGAACGAGCAGGTACATGTTGTGACTTTAACAATCTTGGTGGGATATCGTGTAAGGGAGAAATTCATTTTTACTTTTAATTTAATATTTACCGTAAAGAATGTGGTGGTGGTGTTTTTTGCGTGGCGATGGTACGATAAAACATTTTTCAGACGTGTTACTAGTACTGTACGTTAACGGTTGCTATTGTTTGCTAGTTGTATTTAAATGTAAACATTTTACAATATCAGGAGTTCTGTAAAAAAAAATCAGATCCATTGTGATGAGATTAAATATAACCAAATTTTAAAGGCTATTCCAGTTTCTCTTAGGGCTATGGTGAGACAATATATATTATCTGATATTTCCCCTGCTCTGAAACAACTCTGTATTGATGGAGTTGCTTTCTCTGACTATCAATGTAACAATACATTTTTGCGAAACAAACTACTGCATCACTACTCTCCTAACTTAATTAGGAGAGAATATATTCTGAAGGAGTTTAGTAGAGAAGACATCAAAAAGATCGGAACTAATTTTATTTCATTTCCGGTCCCTCCTAAAGCCAAAGAAATTCAATTTAAAATCTTAAATAGAATTTATCCTACTAAGGAATTTTTAAGGACAAAATTTAAAATGGACACTGGGAACTGTGTTTTTTGTGAGACAGGGAGTGAGAACCTGGAACATCTTTTCTTTGATCGCATGATAGTTCAGCAATTTTGGCTTGATTTTAAAATGTGGATCGAATCCAAAGGGATCCAGTTACTTACTCTCACTTTAAAATAAATCAAATTTGGGTTAATTAATAAGTTTGGAAATAATGAATATGCTATCAATAATTTGATTATATTAGCTAAACATTATGTTCATAAATGTCGCTTTTTCAAATGTGAACCACTGGAAGAATGAACTAAAGTCCTATGCAAAATCATTTAAAATATGTAAAAGGGAAAAATGCTGACAAATTTGTTAGTTTCTTAGTTAATTTCAGTTTCCTCATATAATGCTTTTTTTTTTCTCTTTATCCTTCTTTATTTCTTTTATTTACATTATGTTATGAATCACCTTTTGTAACTTTTGATTGTAAGAATTGGTACTTTTTGTTGTGTATTGTTATGGTAAAAAAAAAAAAAAAAGTTGTATTTAAATGTAGCTAGGTCCAGAGATCTGTCGACTGTGATTTTCTTCAACTGACTTCTCTTTTTAGCTTTAAGACCAAATGAAGCAAATATACAACACTGTGTAACTTGTATCGAGGTCGTGTTTGATTTAAGTATTTCTCCAAGCTATTTATTTACTTACATAGTTAGTTATTTGTACAATATGATGTCCCATTCAGGTACAAGGAATGAACAGGGAAATAGTGCTAAACAAAACGGCTGAAGTTTAAAAAAAGATTCAAACAACCTTAAACTTGGTACTGCATGTGATGAGTAACTGAATAGCTTTGAGATATATTAGCCATTTATACTTTTGTCTTCGAGTTCCGATTCATTCATGTGAATATAGCTAAAATATTCAATATGTACTTGTATAAAAATGTACAAAAAACAACTGCTTAGCCAGTGCCAATGCATTTTCTATATTTGCTTGGTCATCAAACTATTTTAGAGAAACACAAAATGTAATAAATGACCATTTTAGGGCAAAGTCAATCTGACTCAGCCAGGGCACATCAGATAAACTGGCTACATCTATAAGATGTTGTTCCATTTGCTGACAGGCTGATGTATGATGGTCGACAACATTATTAGATACTGTGTTAGGCTGATACAACAAATCTATGTGTCCCTAGTTATAATCTCGAGATAGACATCCACACGTTTAATAGTTCCATTCCTACAAATATTGTTTGGTGTCTTTTAAAACAAACTGAACAATAATTACCTGAAAATCTACAATCATTGGCAATGTTTTGTCAGTTCATGACTGAAGTACAAGACTTTGAGAGGGGGCATATCAAAATAAATATTGTCACATTTGTAAAATTTAAGTGGCTTGCTTTTGTTTACCTCTTGTGGCTGTTTGGATGTGTCAGATACGCAATAAACTGATTTGAGTACACCAAAGGTAGCTGTGAGTCACTACTGTTGCTTCAGTTCCTGTTGCTGTTCTGTCAAAACAGGAATCATATTATTATTCCATTATCAAGTCCATCCATTCATACATCATGCCACTCAAGAGACAGTCTCTCCAGCGTGTCTTGGATCTTCTCCATAGTCTCCTCCAAGTTGGACATGCCTGCAAAATCTACATAGTAAGGCATCTAGAGGGCATCTTTGCCAGATGTCTGAACCACCTCAGCTGGCTCCTCTGTGTTGAGGAGCAGCAGATTTACTAGAGTTTTGCCCAGATAATTGAGCTTCTCACCTTATCTCTAAGAAGATCCTGCTACCCTGAGGAGCAAGCTCTTTTTGACTGCTTGTATCTGCAATCTCATTCTTTCGGTCACTTCCCAAAGTTCGTGTCCAAAGGTGAGGATAAGAACGTTGAGTGACCAGTAAACAAGAGTTTCTCCTTGCAACTCCGCTCCCTATTCACAATGAACTGGCACAGAGTCCACAATACTGAATAAACCATCTGTTGATGTTGCGCTCCATTTTTACCTCACTTGTGAACAAAACCCCAAGATGTTTGAACACTTGTGGTAGGTGCACCGATAAATTCTGTCCATAAAAGTTATGAAAAAAATCTGTGAGAGTGGGCAGCACTGCAGCTATTATCAAGGGCTGAGTGTAATTAATCTAACCTTTCACAAATGGTTTTCAGTGCAGAAAATCTATTTTGTGATTTTTAAAGAAGAGTGTTTATTTCTTAAGCCACTCTAAATTCCACAGTAGTTGTATCCTAATGCAAATATTTATTTCCTGTTTATAATTGCTTAAGAGTCTCTTTTGCTCTTCACATAGGTCACCAGTCAGGTCGAGGGACCACTCACCAGGCAGAAGAGAGACCTCTCCTGTTAGACGGAGCAGCAGATCTCCAAAAAACAGAAAAAATCACAGTCCTCATCGTAGCAGTGATGTCAGAATAAAGCAGGTGATTAGAATGTAAAATTGCAGCATAACTAATTTGTCTCAACTTTCACTCATGTTTTTGTTTGGTTTTCCAATTGTCACAGGAACGGGATGAGCACAGGGCTAGACGTGATGAGCGGAGGCGGAGGAACGAGCAGCCAGATGAACGACGGAGCAGGTGGGAAACGGACCGGTCACAGGACCGAGATCACGGTGAAGAACGGCATCGTGAACGAAACTTATTTGCCTCTCAACAAGCTGAACGACAGCAACACAACGAGAGGCGCAGGGAAAATCGTCGGCGGCAAGAGGAAAACGAGGAACAAAATTTTGAACGGTCTGAAGGAGAGGGCAGTGACTCGAGAGGTCCTGCTGCTGAGAAAGAGAAGCCCAACTTTGAACTGTCAGGGGCGCTCACGGAAGATACCAACACGTTCCGAGGGGTGGTGATCAAGTACAACGAGCCGCCAGAGGCTCGCATCCCAAAGCGCAGGTGGAGATTGTACCCTTTTAAAAATGATGAACCCCTTCCCGTCATGTACGTTCACAGACAGAGTGCCTATTTAATGGGACGGCAGAGAAAAATTGCTGATATCCCTATCGACCACCCATCGTGCTCCAAGCAACATGCAGTATTCCAGTACAGGTAGGTGACACAGGTGTCTACAATATGCTGTGTTTTAGAAGTACAGTAGTCCCTTGCTACTTCGCGGTTCGACTTTTGCGGCCTTGCTCTTTCGCGTTTTTTCAAAGTACAGTACTGTAAGATTGTGTACGACAAAAAAAGTGCTGCCATTTTGTAGTTTTCTCTCCAATAAGCCTACACTGCATCGCTAGTCTAAAGGACTACCTTACCCAGAAGGCGAAGTTGCTTTCTGCTGGAGGGGAAGTTTTTGAAAAATTTCGGCCCTTACAGTATTCATAGTGATTTTGGCGCTCAGATGCAGCACCTTGGTCCAGTCAGAACCGGACCAAGGCTGGGTAGGTCTGCTGAACCGGAACTGAGCCAGACCGGTACCGAGCTGTGTGTTCTGCAGAGCTGGTGAGAAAAAAGGCATTACTACTCACTCGACGTAAAATTTTAAGTTGAGTCAATAAACATCAAGTTATCTTGATAAACTTTTGCTTTAGTTTAGTTGATTTAAATTTATTAGTTGGAACCGTTTTGGTTTGTTGTTTCAACTCAGAAATCGATGTAATTTCTTGCGACTTTTCACTTCTTGTGCGAGGGTTCAGAATGTAACCCCCGGGATAAACAAGGGACTACCGTATTGTAAATTTCGATTCATATTTTTCTACCCAATGCTAACCAGCCTTTAACTTTATGTTGCAATAGAACTTTTTTTTTGTTGCCATGTAATAAAATGTGTAAAGATTCCCCATTCTGTCTGTATTTCTTCAGACTGGTGGAGTATACAAAAGCAGACGGCACCACTGGCCGCAGGGTTCGGCCTTACATCATTGACCTCGGTTCTGGCAACGGCACCTACCTGAACAACCAGCGAATCGAGCCCCAGCGTTACTACGAGCTCAAAGAGAAAGATGTTCTCAAGTTTGGCTTCAGCAGCCGTGAGTACGTCCTGCTGCACGAGTTCTCAGACACGAGCGAGGTGGACACGAAACAGGAGGAGGAGGAGGAGGAAGACGACGACGGGGTTGATGAGTAAATGATTCTCACGAACTCTATAACCCACGTTCATTCAGACCAGGTTAGATCCACAACAATGTTAATGTGCTGATGAGAAATAAAGCCTTGAACTGAAGCGGTGATCGTGGGAAATAAAATAACAGAATCTCGTTGGATTGTTTTGTACATTGTGTAAGTAATTGCTTAAATCTGCCACACCTGTCTCAAGGTAGACCTCTCAGGTTTCTGTGATGCATGACTGATCTTACTGATCTCATGTGTCGTCAGGGGACATTGGAATATCAACCCTATGTTTAAAAATATTATTGACAGAATAAACATTAAGTCATCCAGATTATGATTTCTTTTTGTAGTGCAAATAGAAAATGTGATGCTGTCCGTGTGTCTTTGCGTCACTGCAGCACGTATTCAGGAACTTGCCTTTTGTTTTGGTCAGAGCAGATGCAGTCATATTCAAAGTTAATTTTTGTACTGTAAAATACAAAATAAATGCCACAATTTTGACAGTTTCATTTTTTGTTTCTATTTTTTTTTTTTGTCACACCATGATTTATAAAAACTTTAGGATTTATTTGAAAACATTTCTTCCTAAGAGTATATATTTAAAATTACCAAATAAGTTTATAAAAAATAAAATGCATCTGATGTTTTTAAAGGGATTCAAAAAGAGTAAACCACTTATAACAAGTAGCACTGTGTTTTTCTAAATGGGCTAATTTTTGTAAAGTGTATGCTCATGTGAAAAGCTTGGTCTTGAGAAATGGTGAACTGGAAGTATTCGGCAGGCCTGGGTCTGCAGCTTTCAGAATAACCACTATGCATCATGCACTCCCAAAAGTCGACCAAATAGCTTTTTTTAAGTTGAGTGAAATCAGCTGAGTCATGTTTGGTTGATAACAATTACAAGTCTTTTTATATGCAAACGTTGATGAGGCGCTCGTGACAAATATTGATCAGTGGATGTAAACACGGAGAATGATGGAATCACAGACACCAGGTTGAAAGCAAAAAATAAAATTCTTCTGAAAGAAACGGCGACTAAATTGGAATAATTTACAAAACTGATCGCGTTTTTTTTTTTTTTACAAAAATTCTGAGTTTGAATCACATTAGCCCCCAAACATAAATCCATCCATCATCGTTACCTTCTTCCTGTTGGGGTTACAGGGGTCACTGGTGCCCATATCTGACGTTCACTGTACAAGAGACTAGTTACATCCTGGACCGGTCTCCAGTCCATCACAGAGACACGTAGAGACAAACAACTATTCACTCTCTCACTCACACCTAGAGACAATTTCCAATCAGCCCAACATGCATGTTTTTTGGTCTGTGGGAGAAAACCCACGCAGGCATGGAGAGAACATGTAGGCTCCATCCAGGGAGGCCCCCAGCCGGGATTCGAACCAGCGATCATGCCGCCACCCTCCAAACAAGCATTTAATAATATAGAAATTGTTAGAAGCATAAAAATTAAAATCAGAAAAATCACACATTTTAACAGCTATTTTGGAATAAAGTTTGTAAAGGTACATAGTATGATTTTCAAATGTCAGAGAACAGGAATGCGATCACAGGCGTTATGATAAATGTGGCAAGAATGTTATGAATTAAAAAAACATTTAAACTGGCATTCAGAAATCAAAGCAACTACACTTTTTATGGAAGCCCATTTCTGCCACTCAATGGAAAAAAGATGGTGTAAGTCATTTACCTCATAATTATGACTTGGCATCTATATTTTTTGGAATACTATCGATACTATCTAAAAATTATTATTTAGCACCTTATAATTAGGAGATACTGTCTCAGAATTGTGACAACATATAATTATGCAATTTTATGTCAAAATAACTTGGGCAACATACATGTACACACTGCAGGTCTTAATACGCCATCACATTGTTTTACTCCGATCCAGAGGTACACAAATGACCATGAACTAGTTGCTTCTTAACTTGACAGCATTCTAATAAGAATACAATCCCATTGCTGTTCTTAGTGCTCAGTTTAGCTTTTTGTGCATGGTCGTTCACATTAAAATAAAAAAGCGACTGCCACCAAACTCCAGAGTGAACAGGCTACTTTGGAATTCCATTTCTGCCTAAATCCTTCCATCTATTATGGTTTTAAAAAAATCTCAAATGCTACTTTTTCTCCCTTTCTGAAAAAAATATTACGTCGAATGTGGCAAATCCAAATTTTAAAAATACGACCAAATTGTGATGCTAATGCTAAATTGGATCAATATCCCTCACCCTCATTTGCCCCACTCTGGGCCTTTGAGCAAGGCACTTAACTCCCACCATCTGCTCCCAAACAGGTCTTTCTTGAAAATGAAGCCTGACTCAGTGAGACTACCTGTATAAAGGTTAAATACAAATAAATAAATATCTGAGGTTTTCACAAATTGACCTCTTTGCATTTTAGTACTTTTGCATACCAGTAACAAGTAGGGGTGTGGGGATTGACCCAAATGCAGTTTAAAACTAGGAGCTCCTCATGCCTTCAACTACGAAATAGCTTTTTTATCTTTTCGATTTGCCATGTCCTGAACAACCAGCCTTGGTGACAGACTGTAGTCTAGCGTGACGGACTTGAGTTTGTTTCTACTTTCAGTTTCTCACTTTTGTTCAAGTGATATTCTGCATCAGAGTAGGTGGGCAACATCAAATGTAAACATTAGACAAAACAGATATGTCATATTTTGGTTTACTTTGATTGCAAAAACTTGAGAATTGATACACGCATGCTAACATGCGTAGCATCCATATTCTGTAAACAGCACGCTGCTGTGACATCACACCTTCTGCACATGCAGGTCACTTTAGGGACTGTGGAGGACGAAATGTGACAAAATGAAATAAATAAATCCATAATACATACATAACAATTAAATGTATCATTTAATTATTAAATACATAATTAAATAAATATACAATGAAATTATTAAATACACCATTAAATAATGAAATATACCTTTTAAATTATTTATTTCATGATTTATTTACATCAGGTCTCTTGTAAATGAGTCCCCGAGGCTCAATGGGATTAACCTAGCTAAATAAAGGTTGAATGAATTCATTTAATTTTGTCACCTTACGCCCTCCAGTGACACCATAAAATTAGATTAAGTGTCAGCCTCACTCGTCAAACTCAGTGGGCGGGACTAACCCTGACACCCGATTGGCTGCTCCTCACAGCATACGAAGACAAATTGACCACAGAAAACATATTCTGACAAAACTTTAGGAAGCGGTAGTTGTGTGTTTATGTGTATTTGGATGAAACCCTTTTTCATCAGACAGAAGCAATGGATTTCACATGCTCAGCGTTAGTCCCGCCCACTGAGTTTGACGAGTGAGACTGACCGTTAACATAATTTCATGTTGACACACGAGGATAGATTGTGACAAAATTACGTAATTGAATAAATCATGGAATAAATAATTTAATGATGTATTTAATAATTTAATTGTATATTTAATGATGTATTTAATAATGAAATGATACATTTCATTATTGTGTATTTATTTAATTTTGTCACCTTCTGTCCTCCATACATGTCATTCAGTTCAATTCAAAATACTTTATTAATCCCAAAGGGAAATTAAGTGTTGTTGTAGCTCATCATCCTGGTTTCATTCAAGAGTTGTTAGATGCTGATATCTGTGGGCAGGAAGGATCTCCTGCAGCGAATCCGAAGAATCTGGCCACAGATACCGATCTGTCCACCCAGATCAAGCTTACAGTCAGATCCGGTGGGCCTCTCGGTCCTCCTGGGCAGCCGGACTGTCCAAATGCCGGGCAGAATTCCTCCCTGAGCACTGATCACTCCTCCCAGCAGTCTGCCAAGCTCTTCATTGCCACGGACAGACAGCCAAAGGTGCCCAGGGATGACCCCGGTCCTCCTGCCGTCATGAGCCAAGCCTCCCACCAGCTCCAGTATCTCGGCGGCCAGGCACTCAAGCACCGCCGCCAGGTCGACAGGAATTAGTCCACAGCGCCACCTTTTCCACTCTTATGGGTTTTGGGGCTGTTCCAACACATACTGAACATTATTATTGATATTGTTCATCTTATTTCTTTATATATTGTTTTTAACATTTGGGAACTTTTGTGTGAAATATTTTTATCTTTTTATCTGTTGTTGCTGTTACTCTTGAATTTCCCATCCGTGGGACAATAAAGGCAGATGGCCGCTTGTCTTGAGCCTGGTTCTGCTGGAGGTTTCTTCCTTTTAAAAGGGAGTTTTTCCTTTCCACTGTTGCCACTGTGCTTGCTCAGGATGGGAGACTGCAACGAAGCCAAGATTCAACTTGTCTGCTGGATTCCTTAGATGGAGAACTTTTCTAATTGGCTTTTATTTATGTGAATGTTCCTGTAAAGTGCCCTGAGACAACTTTGTTGTGATTTGGCGCTATATAAATAAACTGAATTGAATTAAAGGCTGTTTCTATTCTATTAATCAGCTGCTCCTAGTTGTTAAAAAAAAAAAACACCTAGTTGCCATGGTTACGCATCATAACAAATGCCCAAAAGTAAAAAGGGTTCAGTAAAAATCCTTCCAGCTGCACAGCATCTGATACCAGAGGAAATAATCATTCGAAAAAGGTGATTTACATCCAGAAAAAAAAGAGAAATTAAATGTTTTCTAAAGCAATAACTCAGAATACAGATCTACTTCAACTTGCAGCCACAATGAGTGGCGCGATTCTAGAATGCATGGCTCATTGATATAAAAATAACTTAGTTATTTAAGGAAAAACACACTTTAAAAAGAGACGTATTTAAAAGTTGTCGACGAAATGGTGACATTAAAGCTGGATAGCGCCGCAACAGTTTTAACAAGAAAATGTAAAAAAAAAAAAAGCCGACTCGTCACTTTCCGTAGCTGAGAGTGGAGGCGGTGACGTCACGAGTTTCGGCCTCCCGGACGGGCGGAGTGGAAGGCGGGGTCCGGTGGAAGAGTTCTGGGAGTGGGAATGTGGGACGAGCAGCGGGGGCGGGTTGCTCACCTGGGAATTCACGTCGAAAAAACCCCATTTCTGTCGACTAAAGTCCGGAACGAAGGTCATGCGTTGAAAACTTTCGGCGGGACCGGAGCGGAAAATGTACACGACGGAGCGCAGGCGCATGAGCTGGCGCGAGCCGAAGAGGAAGGAGCGCCTGTGGATGTCGGCTGGAAGTTTGTGGCAGGACTCCCTGGTGCTGGAGCTGAGCAGCAGCAGCGTCGCTTCGGGTAAACAGAACATTTCCCCGCGGAGTCGGACCAGAGCCGTGTCCGTGGCGTACATCGTGAGCGAGGACGCGTCCGTCCCGCGCACGGAGGAGAACTTGTCCCTGACGTGCCTGAAGGAAGCGTGCGCGGACGCACACGCCTGTTTACAAACCATTTCGTTTGAGAGGATATCGGCGGGAACCACGGACGTCCTGGATAGTTTCTACAACGCAGGCAAGTGCGGGCACGCTCGCGTGGAGGAGCACGAGCGGTAACAGAAACTTACTCCCGTTTTGTCCCCGCAGATGTGGCGGTGGTGGAGATGCGGGACTCCTTCTGCCAGCCGTCCCTCTTCTACCACCTGGCAGTGCGGGAGAGCTTCAGCATGACCAACAACATCATCCTGTACTGCTTCAAGCAGGACGGGGATCTGCAGGCTCTCAACACCTGCCTGGTGGGGCCACACACCTGGTCTGGTTTGGGTTCAAACCACCAGAGCTGGGTCATTTAGGAACTTACAGGGATCCTGAAAGGTTTAAACACTCGCCATATGCAGCTAGAAATAGAGAAGTTAGGTAAATAAATTAACATGTAGTTCATTATTTTGTGTGCCTCTGTGTGGAAGACAAAAACTGCCATAATCATAAATTAATTTATGAATGCCTGTCTCTTCTTTCGGCTGCTCCCTTCTTCAGGGGTCACCACAGCGAACTAAGACTTGGCATTTGTTTTTACGGTGGATGCCCTTCCTGAGACCACCGAGCTACCACAGCCCTCTGTGTGGAGCAGAGAGCTGCCATTAGGGCGCCCCAGGGAGCAGATGTGGGGGTTAAGGGCCGAGGGTGGTGGCAGATGTGGGAGTTTCACCTTTTCCACCCACATTTTGATGTTGTCTGCATGGGGAGTTGAACCAGTGATCTTCCGATCACAGGCTCACCTTCTCTAACCTCTGTGCCACCACTCCCGAATTTATAAACGCTTGTGATTTAACAAATGTATCATCATTTTTATTTGCATTTCTTTTGTTTCATAAGCATTTTTTTTCTTCCTTGTTTCTTTCTTCTTCTTTTTTTTGATCACTGTATTTAAAATTAATTTAATTGAATTTTTGTAATTTATTTGTTATATATAAACATAACACAAAGTATGTCCCCAGGACGTATGGCGTACAAAAAATTTGAAATGCCGGCCAAAAACAGAAAGAAAACAAAAACAGTATAACCTAAATATTCATATATGAAGCACACATAATTTATATCGGAAAAAAAAAAAATTCTGTGACAAAATTTGTGTTGTGATAAAAACAATGTAATAACAAAATATTCATGACAACAAATGTTTTGCATTCCTTCCACACTGAAAGACAGCCTCCCTTTGCATAGTGAACTTGAATTGCATATTACTTTTACAAGGAAGTACAAGAAAATATAAACGGGCGTACAGACCAATACCCTTGACGACAAAAGGGAAGATGCAGGAAGAAAACTGAGATTTAAAAACTTCAACATTTCATTGGAAAAATACATTGCAAATAAAAAAATAAAGTAGAATGAAATAAAATCTAGCGACGTTCATTTTTGATCACAGCGGTTTTATTCCCTCCATTCATGACCATTTTTATGTTAATTAGGATTAATGTCTTGGGAACTAATTATTTTCTTATCTACTCTAAATCATGAGGCAAGTCTAATTATCATTGCAACTATCATGTAGTTTAGTAAAACTAAACTTTTAATGAAAGGCTCACAGGGCGTCTCTCTATTTATTAATCATTTTAACTGTTTAAAAAGTCGTGAAAATCTGTTTCTCTGTATCAAGATGAGTTGTCGTCCTCCAGGAGCAGTGTGGGAGTTACACCTTCATTCCTTACGTGGTGTCGCCTCAGGGCAAAGTGCTAGCCTGCGATGCTACGATGATGTCATGCATCAAAGAACTGATGCAGCCCAGTATCCAGCTGGAGCCCATTCTCACTCCGCTGGTGGACAGACTGGTGCACCTGCTGAACAACGTGCACGTTCAGTCCAGGTGAGGCACGCCCCTTTAGGGCTCTGCTAGTATTATTATGTCGTTCGTGCTCTACCTGTTGAAACATCTTGCGTTCACATTTCATCTGTTGGGTGTTGTGAAATGTTGGAATGGTTTGCTTCTGTCCTCGTGTCAACAGCGAATACTTCCGGGAGTCGGTCAGGCACGAGATCCGAACGGCACGGGAGCGGTTCAGTGGCAAAGCCCTGAGTGAGGAGCTGAGCCGCATCCAGCAACGCTTGGACAGTGTCGATCTGCTCACTCCTGATATCGTCCTGAACCTGATGTTGTCCTATAGAGATGTTCAGGTGTGTGTTTTAGGGTTGAAGTAGTCTTTTTATGATTATGTGCATAATCTGTCTTAAAACATAAACATACATAACTAGATTTAATAGCAAATCAGTTATGGTAATGGAAAAAGTAGTGAGGATGATTGATATTCATTGTGACTGAGCTGCTTTTGTTCCTCAGGACTATGATGCCATGATTAAATTGGTGGAAAATCTGAATAATTTGCCCATGTGTCAGGTGGCAAAACATCAGAATATCAAGTTCCACTACATATTTGCTCTGAACAGGTACCTGCACACCTGCTGCATTTTCGTTTGGTCTGCATAATCAAAACAAACAAAAAAATTGTAAGCGTATCTGTTTTGGTTTCATTCAAGCTCAGCTTGAAGCTTTTATTTGCTTTATGTGATTTCTAATTTATTAAAGGTTTTTGTCAAATATGACCTAATTTTGTTCCTTTTCTTTTTTTTTTTAGGAGGAATCACTCTGGAGATCGTGAAAAGGCCTTAAAAGAAATTCTGCCGATTGTGGAGTCTGGTGAAAAGGTGGCGTCAGATGTGTACTGTCTGTGTGGACGGATCTACAAAGACATGTTCATGAGCTCAGGGTTCACTGACACCAACAGCAGAGACCAGGCCTGCTACTGGTACAAACAGTTTGTTAAATCTTAGCATCTTTCCACACCTGTGAACTGTCAACAATTACCTGGACTGTAGACATTTATACACCTAATGTGGAAAAAAAACCCAATTCCTTTGTTTGTTTGTTGTTTTGTTTTTTAGGTATGAAAAAGCGTTTGCGACAGAGCGAACTTTTCACTCGGGTATCAACAGCGTGGTGCTCCTGATGGCGGCTGGACACGAATTTGAGACGTCTATTGAGCTGCGCAAAATAGGTGAAACAGGAGCATCTCTTAGAAACCTGAAGCGCTTATTTAACAGAGACAAACAAACAACAATTATGTAGGTGCTTTTCTGCCCAGCTTTATTGCATTTAGAAGATTTGAATAAACATAGAATTATGAACCATAAAACACAGAGTTGTGAGATCGTCAATACGGTAGTCCCTCGTTAATTGTGGATGTTGGGTTCCATCTCTCACCACCACCACCACAATAAGTGAAAATCCGCAAAGTAGCAATGTTATATTTTAGTATTTATATATATTTTAAGGCTTTGGAAACTCTTCCCACACTCTTGCAATGTTCTAAACTCTTAAACCTATGTCATTTTAGCTACATATATACTGTACAGTATATGTAACTACTAGATTTTACTTACCAGCTCTGCAGAACAGGAACGGCTCGGTTCTGCTCCGACTGTTCCGTCTGTTCAGACCTACCCTGCAGCGATGCAGCCCTGAATCAATGTTCTAAACTCCTAAACCTACACATTTTAACAACATACTTATATGTATCTACAAAATTTTACTCACCATGCTCGGCGGACGAGGAACGGCTCGGTTCTGCTCCGACCCAAGAGATGAAAAAGGTCCTGGTAGGCTCCGTATGGAGCGCCGGACCTACGGTGGCGTGTCTCTGCTTGGAAGCCCTCGTGGGCTGGCGAGGATCTCTCGGGTTCACCGCTGAGTCTGGGGGTCAGGTTCAGTGCAGCCCTTGAGCACGGAAGCACATTTTGTGGGTGTGGGGTGGGGCAGACCTTCAGTTGGCCGGCGCGGACTGGAAGTGGTCGATTGAGTCCCAAGTCTGGATGAAAAAAGTCCTGGTGGGCTCCGGATGGAGCCTCAGATCTACATCGGTGCATCCCCGCTCGTAAGTCCTCGTGGGCCGGCTACCAGCTCTTAAGATTTGCCGATGGGTCTGGAGGTCTGGTTCTGCTCCGGTTCTGGTCCGGTTTGGTGGGTTCCGTGCGGCTCTCTGCATCTCTGGGCGCTGAAGTCACTGTAATAAGCGCCAAACTTTTTCTGATCAGATCAAAACTTTCCTTCTACAGCAGAAGGAAACAGCTTCTGGGCAGGGCACTGTTGACTTCTTGGAAATGTAGTCTTAATGAGGGGGAATACAGTGGAGGCTTACTGAAAGAAAACTACAAAATGGCAGTGTCTGTCGGAAGTATTTTATTTTTTTCGTTAACTTTTTACTGTACAGTATCCAATACTGTCCCAATCACGTGAGTAATATTAAAGTTGACAATCATGTGTCGTGTGTGTATATATATATATATATATATATATATATATTTCTTTTTTTTCTTTTTTTCAATATGTTAATGTGCGTTGACAAATATAGCGAGTCCGTTAAAGTCGAACCGCGAAGTAGCGAGGTGCTACTGTATTTCAGTTGTTTGGCACCTCATTGAACACACTTTGTGATTTTGAGGTTAAACTGGTGTTAGCTCGGCTGAATGAAGTCCTGCATTTTTCTGCTGGAACAAACAGACAGTAGACCTTGAGTGGTAAATGTCTCCAGCATCTCAGCATCAGTGCCACCTTAACACTGGCATAGGTCACACATGTAGTGGCTGCTGATGCACCCCTATATCATCAGAGCTTTTTGCACCTTTTGCTGGAAACACCCATTACAGATCAATTCCAATGTTTTTACAGCTGAGTGTTTTGCCAGTATCAAATTTTAGATTTGCTCCAGTTTTCCCTGGAATACGAGCGAGCTGCCTACAGTTGTGTATGGTGCCATCATCTGTTGACTTGTTCTAACATGGCTGTACTCTGTAATTACATTCACGTCTAGGTGTGACCATAAGCACACTGCTTGGTAGAAAAGGCAGCTTGGAGAAGATGAAGGACTACTGGGACGTTGGCTTTTATCTTGGTGCAAACATCCTTGCTAAAGAGCACAGGAAGGTCATTGAAGCGTCAGAGAAGCTCTATCGAATCAAGGCCCCCGTTTGGTGAGGAGTCAGCCACATTCTTTTTTAAATCATTGTCATTAATATTTTAGTCAACTCTATCTGTTTGTTAGCAACATATCACATGAACTTAAGATATTTTTTAAGAAATTATCATCATTGAGTATACATCTGCAACAGCTTTTGCTATGACCACAATTCAAAATGCCCACCACAGCTGACTGACCTCAGTAAACACAGAATGGCTATAAATCAGTGAGTTTTACAGACATTGAGCTAATAATGGGTGTGGTAGTAGCTGAGAGTCTTTAACAACACAACATGAGTGCACTTAGGATTGTAGTCATTTAAGACATCTTAGGTTTTACTAACTGTTGTAGTTTGTTTCCTTTAGGTATTTGGAGTCCATCATGGAGACGTACATTCTGTACCGTCAGTTTGCTAAACCGCCTGAGGAGAGATCTCCCAAACAAGATATAGTGGACTTCTGGTTGGAGCTGCTTTTGCAGTCCTGCAAACCCACCGTCTCAACAAAACGCTGCCCAGTAAGAAAACCCAGATCAACTCCAACAAAAACTGAAAAATCACAAAGTTTATTATCAGAAGATCCACCTCTCCTCAGCAGGATGCTAAGCTTAAATAAACTTCAACAGACACGTCCTACCAGTAAACTTCAATAAAAGCCATGTGGATATTGTGAAGCTCTGGTGTTGAATGGTACACGTGTTTGAATCGCTCTTTCAGGTGCTCATTCTGGAGCCGAGTAAAGTCCTCCAGCCGGCTGTTGTGAGTGTGAGTGAGGAGGACGTGAGCCGCACTGTTCAGCTGAAGCATGTCACACCTTTAAAGGTACCCCCCACTAAACGCACACACGTCCTGCAGGTGGTTCTTTTCAGAGTATATTTTTTAAACACACAATATAAGAATTTACAGTGTTTGACTAAACATTCCTTATGCTGATGTATCCTCCCGTGAATGTAATCAGGGGAGTTTGTGGGTGTGTTTGTGTTGCATTATTTTGTTCTTAAGTTTCTGTGGTGTGTGATACACCTTTTAATGGATGTCGACTCATGTGTTAAATAATTTCTGACTTCGCAGAAAGGTTTACACCAGTGGACTTTTCCAGCAACTGCGATTCGGGGAGTGAGGTAAAGAGTTTCCCAGCATGAGCAAATATATTTCAGCTCTGGGTGTGTTTGAACCAACAGCAGAGCCAGAGGACCCACAACACCTGGGTTGTCTGGGAGACGTTGGCTCGTCCTCAGATTTCTGCTCTGTCAATATGATTTCAGGCTTGTGTTTTGTGGCTTTTTGTTGACTGCCCTGCAACTATTGACCAGTGTCACCCTGAGCTTTGGACTTGTGGTGTTTGCAAATTTTCCATTTGGGTATTTGTATCTAATTAGGCAAAACAGAAGAGTTTCTGGGCAGCGGAAAAACAACTAATTACTATCAAAAATTAACAGGATAGGAAAGATTGGGAGGTGTTTTTCTATAGGAACAGGACATTATTCTAATTCAGAATCTCTAATTAGTCAAACCCCACCATTTTTACCCAACTTTAACATTAAAATAAAACATTAGCTGTTTCTCCAAGAGAGTAGATAATAGCTCAACAGAAGATAAAAAGGTTTAATTTGTGTCAAAATTGTATTTTTATTAACAAAATTCGATTTGTGTCTAACTTGTTGTGTCAAACTAAATTCAATTCAATTCAGTTTATTTATATAGTGCCACCACATCAGAAGTTGTCTCAGGGAACTTTACAAAAACATTCACATACATACAAAGACCAATTACTGGTAGTAAAAGTTCTCTATCTAAGGAAGCCAGCAGATTGTGTTGAATCTTCACTTTGTCACAGTCTCCCATCCTGAGCAAGCACAAAGGCCACAGTGGAAAGGAAAAACCCCCTTTTAACAGGAAGAAACCTCCAGCAGAACCATGCTCAGGCTTATAAATCTGTCTGTCTGCACCAAAATATATTTGACTTTTACCTACCTAAATATCTAACTGCAGCTAAAGATCCTCATCTAAAGCACTTTTTACCATTTCTAATTTCTCACCTAAGGTCCTGGTTCTATTTCGTATAGGCTTCGCCCTTTAAGGCCGTCGCTAGTGGGTATTATCCCGTCGTGCGTAGTGCAGCACTGAAAACTTTAGTCCACGCCCACCTGCTGTGTGTGCCTCACCCCCAGTCTGTATAAATTACGGTGAGACCGGGTAATCGGCTCCCATTTTTCTTCAGCAAGCAACCAGCACTGTTTTTTACAAGAACAACCATGTCCAGCACCATCTGCCTGTGCCCGACTTGCAAGACCGGCTACATGCTGAGTTTCGACTGGCACGACATCTGTGAAAGATGCCTGGGTCCCCGCCACGCAGACCTCGCCTCTTCCTGCCGTCTCTGTGACCTCCTCCCTCCTGAGGAGAGGCAAAGGCGAACAGCCTTGTTCAAGGCTAACATCGAAGAGTGCCTCTCCATGATGGGGGACTGTTTGCTGGACGAAGCCATCGCCTTTTTTGACGCCGAGTCACGGAGCGAATCGGATGATTCCTCCAGAAAAGGCAATGTCAGCAGCAGCCCCGCTGCTCATTCCCTCCTGGAGAGCATAGTGTTGGAACAGGGTGGGCCGAGCTGATGCTCACCCCCTCCGGGCCTTTCCGCATCGGCGAACACATCGCTCCCAGCCATCGGTGCCCTCCTCTCGGAGCTGCTCGGCATAATTCAGGAGGCGGCTGACACGAAGGGACTTTCTGTCCCTCTCCTCCCCCCGCCCAGATCGGATGATCTAGCGGGAAGGTTTGGCTCCACCCCGGCTCGCCGTCCTGACCCATCTGGCCTCGTTTCCCAGCAGTGACATCCTACTGGAACGAGGCTGCAGCTGGACCTGGTAAGCTGAAGGCGCCCGTCTCCACCTTCGCTCCCATCACCAGAGTGGAGGGGTTTACTGAGCGTAACTTTCTCTCGGTACCCCCCCCCGGAGCCAAGCCTGGCAGAAGCCCTCGGAGCAAAAGTGTCCACATTGGACCAACGTCCTGTCCCTCCAGGAAGACACGACCAGACGGTGATGTCGCTCTCGAATCGAGCCCACCAGTGGGCTTTCCAGGTGGCTGCAGCGATCAACAATGTCGCCCTGCTGGCCTACAGCATCTCCAAACGGCTGGAGGACACAGACCTGCCTGAGGAGATGAGGAGCTCGCTCTGCAAAGCGTTTGACATCATCCTCAACCTGTGCGCCTCCTCTGCAGTCTGCCTGTCTCGCATCACCGCCTGGATGACAATGATCCAGAGGTCCACCTGGCTCCGACACTCCCCATCCTTGCCGGAGAAACTGCAGAAAGACCTGCTGGAGGGCCCCATCACGACGGACGTGCTGTTCGGGGCCACTTTCAAGGCCATGCTTGAAAAGTCGGAGAAGGTGTCAGAGACTGTGCGCTACCCGATGAAGCCGCACCCCTCCTCCCCCGCCCGCTGGAGAGATCGTCGTGGCCAGAGGCAGCAGCAGACGTTCCACTGCTGCAGGAGCGTCCTCCCGCCCTGCTCCGCCACCGACCACTCCCGCCAGAGAACAGTCCTTCTCATCGCGGCGACTCAGCGTTTCCCCAAAGACTGCCAACAGGCGCCGCCCTGGAACAACCAGTCGCAGGGCTCACGGGGGAGAAGATTCAAGAAATGACTCCTTGCAGAGGATGTCTGTGTGCATAATGGTGATATGAGTTTTAAAATAAAACAAAAACATCATTCAGAGAATAAAGTGTCTTCTGATTCCAGCCTGACTGTCAGATCGAATGATCTCACAGCGGTTTCTCTTCACACATCCTCCACACAAAACGAGCCGGTAACCTCAAAACAGGTTTTTAAAAGTCACTGCAGCTCGAGAAACCACACAAAATGCTCGCTTGACACAGCAGCTAGAAATGATTCTTCACAGCAGACCGAGCCCAGAAAAAAACCTCTCTTGTCAGCCCAGGTTGTGTTCTGATTTTTCTGACCGCAACGGTCTGAAAAACTGCAATCTCCACCCAAATGGCGTCGCATTTCTAAAGGCACTCACGCCTCTCCTCAGTGCGCGTCAGCTCACATCAATTCTGATGTGAGCCTGCAGCCTGAGTGCAGCACAGATGCATTCCCAGAGCCCTTTCGGCAAGGGCTCCGTATGGATCGCTTGAAGAACATCTCCAGAGCATATGACGGCAGTGGAGGCCCTAGCTTGGTTAACATCCGTAAAGGACCTGACACAACACAAAAACGCGTGCCTGCTCCCATAGCATTACGCAGAGTGGCAGCGAGTGTGTTCCCTGGACAGATGGATGAGCCGTCTTATCAGCAGAGGTTACACGCTGCAGTTCGCAGCTCAACCCCCACCGTTCAGAGGAATTATAGAGACGGTTCTGTCATCTCCAGAACAGATCTCGTCTCTCCACTCAGAAGTTCAGGAATTATTGATAAAAAAAATTAATTTCCAGGGTTCCCAATGGAGAGGAAAACACATGGTTTTACTCACGTTACTTCCTGGTTCCGAAGAGGACTGGAGGGATGATACCCATTTTGGACCTATCCGTATTCAACAATTCGATCATGGAGAGACAGTTCCACATGCTGACAACCAGACAGCTGTTGGACAACAATCACCAGAACGATTGTTTACCTCTATAGATCTAAAAGATGCCTATTTTCACATACCAATCATTCCAAAACACAGAATGTTCCTGCGTTTCTCCTTCCAAGGGACCCAGTACCAGTACAACAGGCTCCCGTTTGGCTATTCCCTCGCCCCACGCACGTTTTCGAAATGCGTGGAGACGGCTCTGCAGCCGCTACACAGAGCAGGGATGAGAATTTTGTTTTATCCAGACGATCTGCTGCTGCTAACTCGATCCAGGCAGGAAGCAGCTGTGCAAACCAAAGAGCTGACGTCACACCTGTTGAACCTGGGTTTTGCCATAAACTGGGAGAAGAGTTTGTTTCTCCCGGCCCAGATGATCATTTATCTGGGAGTGGAGCTAAACTCAGTCACTATGAGAGCCCGCTTATCACAGCCGAGAGCCGAAGCTCTAAAGGACCAGCTCCACCGCGTAAAACCCAGCACAGTAGTAATGGCCGTCTGTATCATGAAACTTTTGGGAACGATGTTGTCAGCTCATGCTGTGGTTCCGCTGGGCTTACTCCACATGAGACGCCTTCAGAGATGGTTCGCTCGCCTGCGCATAGATCCGGTACGTCAGAAGAGGCGAATGATCTCTGTGCCCCCCTCCGTGGGAACCGACCTGAATCACTGGGGAAACCCTCTCACTCTGTCAGAGGGAGTTTCTATCAGCAGACCTATGTCACACGTCTCAGTTTTCACAGCCACGTCCCTGTCAGGCTGGGGAGGAACGTGTCTGTTTCAAATGGTGGGGGCGTTGTGGCCACCTCACACATCAGCTCATAAAAACATTTTGGAATGTCTCACAGTTTGGAATGTGATTCAGCATTTTGCTCCCCTGTTGCAGAATCAACATGTTCTGATCCACACAGACAACAAAGTTACTGCAGCTTACATAAACCGGCAGGGGGGCGTGCGCTCAGCCCAACTGTTATGCATTGCAAGACAGCTGTTGTGTTGGGCACACAAAAACCTGCTCTCCATCAGAGCAGTGTATATCCCCGGCGTCCTGAACAGAGGGGCGGACATAATGTCCAGGGGCGGTCCGCGCCACGGGGGCTGGAGTCTCCATCCCAAGCTGATTTCTCGGATTTGGAGCAGGTTTGGCCGAGCAGCAGTGGATCTGTTCGCCACATGGGAGAACGCCCAGTGTCGATTATGGTTCTCACTGAGCCCACGAAACGACCCACCGTTAGGAGTGGACGCTTTTGCCCACAGCCTGTGGCCAAAAATACTCCTTTACGCGTTTTCTCCAGTCCCTCTAATATCACGGTTTCTGAACAGAGTCCGGGATGAAGAACTGTCAGCCATTCTTGTAGCCCCCGAGCACGTGAGCGCCCCGTGGTTCCCAAACCTGCAACGTCTGCTATCGGGCCAACCGTGGAAACTGCCGTGGAGGGACGATGCTCTCCTCCAGGCGGGAGGAGCGATCAGGAGTCACCCAAAAATAGGCCAGCACCTTTGGGTCTGGCCGCTGAGCGGCTCTGCTTAGAGAAGATGGGCCTCTTTCAGAAAGTGGTGTGCACAATCCAAGACTCATGAGCCACTTCCACCACAGCGCTGTACACATCAAAGTGGACAGCTTTTCAGCGCTGGTGCACGGAGAAAGGTGTAGAGGCCATCTCATGTCCACTAGGTGGCGTGCTGTTCTTTCTGCAGCAGCTGATGGACAGAAATCTGGCATTCAGCACGATTAAAACGTATGCTGCAGCTATTTCCTCCTGTCATGAAGGCTTCAGTGACAGAACAGTTTTTAATAATCTGCTGTTGAAGCGTTTTCTAAAAGGTGTATGGAGGCACAGATCGGTGTCACGCCCACTAGCTCCACAGTGGGACCTAACAATGGTTCTGCGAACTCTGATCAAAGCTCCTTTTGAGCCTTTAGATCAGGTGTCACTTAAATTCCTTTCACTTAAAACAGCCCTGCTGTTGGCTTTGACATCAGCGAAGAGATTGAGCGATTTAGCTGCGCTCTCTGCTGCCCCGTCATGCCTCAGGCTGATGGCAGCTCAGCTGCGCTGAGACCTAATCCAGTTTTCATGCCCAAAAACATCACAAGTTAATTTAAATCGAGAATGATAACATTGGAGGAGTTTTATCCTCCCCCCTCACAAATCAGAAGAAGAAGCATCTTTTCATCTCCTCTGTCCTGTGCGTGCACTGGCATGTTACATAACACGCACGGCTCCTCTGCAGCAGACTCGGCGTCTGTTTGTGCATTATAGGGGCATCTCTGCAGGTCGCCTGTTATCCACCCAGCATCTTTCATACTGGCTGTGTGAGGCCATTTCTGAGGCTTACAGAGCATCAGGATTGGAGCCTCCAGAGAATCTCTACTACTTACTACTTGTACTACTATCCCTACTTTGCGGTTTTTCACTTATCGCGGAGCTTCAGGGTACGGATCCGCCGCGATAAACGAGGGACTACTGTATTTGTATTTTTATTACTTTATTTAATTTCATGTTATCTTTTAGTATTTCAATGTTTTTATTTATGTAATCTTGTTGGTTTCATTTTGGTTTTTATTTTTATTTATTTTATTTATTTTATTTTTTTTTCTGTAAATGGTTTCTCCCTATTAATTTGTTAAGCACTTTTGTAACTACGTTTTGAAAGGTGCTATATCAATAAAGTTTTTTTTTTTTTCCTTAAAGTGTGTCAAAGATTGATGAGCGGAGCTGCTTTCTGTACGTCCACTACAACTCTGATGACTTCCAGCTTTGCTTCCCCACTGAGAATCATTGCAATGGGTGAGTGACTCGTGGATGGTGATGAGGCAGTGAAAAAACAGAGAACTTGTTTGTCATAAAACTAAAAAAACTTATAAATGTTTCAATGTAGGTTTGGTTAGAAATGGTATTTTGAAGCATATGGAGTTTATTCATGACCGATGGACTGAGTGGCTGCTGCAGAAATAAATGGAAACATTAGCGTCAGAGTAGAGGAAGATCACCGGTCAGTTTTCAGACATTGCAGTCTGTGTGTGAAGAATGTATGAGTCATACTTCCTTTGTGCTGTCTAGAAAAAGCTCCTCAGACCACATCTTCTTCAGTTTCACTTTAAGTTCACAACTTTTTAGTGGAATTTAACACCAGACAGAATTCATCCATCCATTATCTTTACCTGCTCGTTCCTATATTTCACTTATGTTATGTTGTATTATTGTTTAGACTGTTTGATTTAGTTTTTAGGTTGCAACGTATCAACATTTTTCAAGTAGAACATTTGGTCAGGAATGGTTTTATGTATATTATTTCCGGAGAACTTGTTTGTCATAAAACTAAAATAACTTCTAAATGTTTCAATGTAGGATTAGAAATGGTGTTTTGAAGCATATGGAGTTTATTCATTTTATTTTTTTGAGACCATGTTGTTGCTTGTCTGTTTTTTTCCAAATGAGTCAAACGGCTGCAAAGTTATTAAGTCCAAAGAATATTGTTTTTTAATGCAAATTGTCTTCATAAGTCAGTTAGTTTTTCTTGAAGTAATATCATAAATTTAGCTTTCTTTATTTTTTACATTAGAGTAGACTAAGGAAATCGTTGTTGAAGAGACTGGACACATTTTACTTATTTAAAATGATGAAATGCTGCAAGAGTTTTGGTCATAAGAGAAACAAATTATTTTACTCATCTCAAATAAAATATTTAACCACCAAGTGAACCAAATAAGTACTCTTTAACACTTGATTGTAAACAAACTAAAGTTTGTCCTGATCAATAATCCAGGTAGATCAATCTAACAAGGTTGAGTCATGTCTTCTGGACGGATTCTTCTTGGGTGAAACTTTTCATCTTTTATTCAAAAGACTTCTTCAGTCTGAGGAGTTGCAGCTAACTTTATAAGAAGCAGCACTTTCACATAGTGGATTAACCAGTTTACTGGTAACAGACAAAACTAGTTATTCACATGCACCTCAAAATACATTACGACAAAAACTGGTTTGTCCCAAAGATCCAGTCCCCCGGCACAAACAGAGTAATTTATATGCTGTTCCGTGCCAGGAGGGTTGCGATCCTCTCAAACCCAGCTGGTCGAAGCAGATGGCCGCTTGTCCTGAGCCTGGTTCTGCTGGAGGTTTCTTCCTCTTGAGGGAGTTTTTCCTTTCCACTGTTGCCTTCATTCTTGCTCAAGATGAGAGTCTGTGATGGAGTTAAACTCAAAGCAGTCTGCTCCTCAGATAAATAATGCTAAAATATTATATGGATGTTTTTGTTCAGTGCCCTGAGGTGACTTCTGTTGTGACTTGGCGCTATATAAATAAACTGAATTGAACTGAAACTAAACAGCCACTGGCCAAAAGGATGGACCAGCACAGAAGAGCAACATCGTCAGTCCAGGGCTCTGTGGTCTGCACATATCTACAGGCTAGAGGTCACTCTTTCAGGGATGAAGATGTTCACATCCTTGATAGAGAGAAATGTTGGTTTAAGAGGAGTGAAGGAGGCCATCTTTGTGAAGAGAACCTGTCCGTCGTTTTAACAGGGGCGGAGGCCTCCGTGTCCAACTGTCCCCCTCTTCTTACAATGCTGTAATGCTAGTATCACTCAGCCATCTGTGAATAGCAAACAGCCATCAGGGCACTAACGATCACTTGTTAAGCTGATGCAACAATTTTCAGTCAGGTCATCTGGACGGTTTCTTTTTTTGTGCTGACACATTTCGCCTTCCATCCAGAAGGCTTCATCAGTCTGAGGAAACACCAAACAAAAGCATGGATTTTGGTGTTAAGCTGATAGTCCCCCTTTTGCATGTGACCAACTAGTTTTGGCTGTAACCAAACTGGTTGATCCATGACATGGTGCTATTTACTGTATAAGACTGAGTTAGTTGCAGCTCTTCAGACTGAGGAAGTCTTTTGGATAAAAAACAAAACGTTTCAACATAGAAGAATTTGTCCAGAGGACCCGACTTAACCTTGTTAAACCAAAGTTAGATTAGCAATAAAATCATTATTTTTCTTAGCATGCTTTTGATGTTTCACTGAGGTCTGACAGGCGTGTTAACAAATGTAAATTTGGTCAAGAGTTTTATTGCTTTAATTTCTAAAATGTTCAATCAAGGTGTCACGCTTTGTTGAAACTGAATTCATTTAACAAAACACAACATCTGTGCACTCACATGATTAAAAAAAAACATTCTGATGTATGGTAGACGTCATCGAAAACAAAGGTATGTTTCAGAATTTAATTTTTCTGTTAATGTTCCCACCCTAGTTTCTGTGATTCAGTGAACTCCCTGCTCCACCAGGCTGAAGACTCAACTCAGGACCCACAGCAACAAAGTGAGGAAATACCCGAGGTCAGTTTGTTCCTGTGACACGTTTGCTCTTTTTAAGACTTCTCCCAAAAAATGGGGAAAAAAAAGCATTTATGAATTAACTCAATTCAAAACACAGTCTAGCTTTCCCCAAAATTTTCCATTTGTTGTTGTTGTGATTAATTCAGAGTTCATGTTTTTTTGTTTTTTTTGCCTGAATTCTCAGAACCGTGCCTCTTGTTGGCTGCCTATGAAATTCCTCACACTTGTGCTTTTTTCCTCTCGTTCATGCTGCTTTTAATCTCATCCTTCAGTACATTTACGAGACCAATGAGACCGGCAATAAGGTGGTTCTCGGGAAGGGGACGTATGGTGTGGTGTATGCTGGGAGGGACCTGAGCAACCAAGTCCGCATCGCCATCAAGGAGATCCCCGAGAAGGACAGCACGTAAGAAGTTTTCCACTCATCCCTCTTATCTTCACAATACCATTAAAGGGATGGGTGTTTGGCATGAATATTCACATTTAGAAGAAAAAGTTAGTGTTTAAAACAAATTGTGTGCTTGTGTTTACTTTTAACTGTACTTAAATTTATATGTAAATGCTTTTTATGCTTTTTTTTTGTTGTTGTAGTACCAGCTATATGATGTGGGTTGCGTAAGTGTTCACGACTTGGAAGTTTTATTTTGTTTATATCATGAAAAAAAGTGAAATAAGACCAGAGTTTTGCTGTAGCTGTGTGTTAGGGTCATTGTCTTGATGAACGGTGACCCTACACTCCAGCTTGTTAAACAGGTTTTCTTCAAGAATTTCTCTTTGTGCAATCCATCTTTCCTTCAACTCTGGCCAGTTTCCCAGTCCCTGCTGATGAAATTCATGCCCACAGCTTGATGCTGCCACCACCATGCTTTACTATGGTGGTCTCTGCACGTTGCAATCTGTTGGTTTAGCACCAAACATGGCGTTGTCCTGGATGTTTAAAATGTTCATTATTAGTTTAGCCAGACCACAGCACCTTCTTTCACATTTGAGAAATCACTGAAATTACGTATTTGTTCTGCTGTTTTGCCTGGTAGGAGCCATTACCAGGTGTATTATATATACTGAGAGCGTTTGACCCTTAAATCGTACCCAGCTGGATATTGTTGGCCCTCGTCGGTGAGCGAAAAGTAGGAATTAAAAATACTTCCTTCTTGGTGTGTGGCTGCATCTAGGCGTTACAAAGGTTCCTTTCCAAAATTGTTTCTTAAAAGTATAGTTTCCTCAAATGGTGGCCACAGGTTTTTCTATCATGGCCAAGGCCACCATTGGTCATCCCTTGCTTCGCCATTGCTCCTTGTGGTGGATAAAATTGCTCCCTCCACTTGCCAGAATCTGTCACTATGCGCTGCCTCAGACAAGAAAAAGAACCCTACTTTTGTTCTTTTACACCAAGAGCGCCCAATATGTCAATCGTGATCTACCAGTCGATCGCAAAGGCATTATGGGTACATCGCATGGCATTAAAAAAATATACGTCAGCCTATCATCCATCCTCACTATGAAATTTGTCTCGATTGACATACAGGGCAGTCAGTCACAGCCCTCATTCTCTCAAACCAGGTCTCAGAGTAGAGATTTTCAGGGGAACCCCCGACCCCCATTCCCCCCCCGAGGTGTGAAATTCTCCGTGTGTGAAGTTGCATAATACATGCACACTACAGGCAGCTGCAGTCCAAAGTTTTTCTGCACTAACAACAGTTATAGTAAATGGCAGAGAGCAGAGTGTTTTTGTGCTACTCACCCTTTTTCCGCTTGCAGGAGCAAAACTAATAAAATCCAGTTCCAAAGAGACGTTAGTGTATTCACCAGTTTGGACATAACTGTCACGCAGATGCTGCATGTACATTGAATGTAGCTGAGCCTGGGCAACTGGGTTATGTGGGTTGCCAGATAAATGTAAAATGTCTTATATACCCCCTCCTTTTTTGTGCACATGTTCAACAAACACAACACACACCTCATCTTTGGATATCTTTACTCGGCACATATGACCGTTTAGGTCAAAGTACCATCATTTTAAAGCCACGATACTATAGTTCATAATTTCTTATTTGGCAACCCGACTGAAATAGAAACGAGAACGTTTTTTGTGTAAACACGCACATTTTTTGTTTATTACCCCCAATAAACATTGAAAAAACACTAACGTTTCCAGAGGTTGTTCTCATGTAAACGGTGCCTTATAGTAGGTAGATCACTTTGACTTAGTCATTTTAAAAGTAACTCGTATGCTGAAAAAGTGTGGACACCCCTGTTTTACACAGTTTAACTCCTACCCACTTGAATATCTTGCACCAAAAACATTATGGTTTACATACACTCCATGTTCAGTTCCAATCTAGAAACGCGCTCCTCTCCAAAACTACAAAACTTTCAGTAGTCACCTAGGCAGAGTTTGAGTTTGGAGTTCCAAACTCTGAAAACTCTTTTACATTTTAGTGTGTACAGTTAAGTCAACAAAATTGAAACAATACCAAGGGGAGGAAATTCGTTTGAAACCTCTTTACATTATTGCAATTTTACAGTATTTTCAGGTAAACTTAACCATCCTGTGGTGAATTTAACAGACTGTGAAGATGGTATTCTGGTGCAAACTAAAGTCGTTTTCTGCATTTCAACAAAATCTATCATGTTTTGTTGATGAAATTAGGCCAATCTCCCTGTTCATCATTCCTCTTTGTTTTCCTCAGATACTCCCAGCCCCTTCATGAGGAAATAGCTCTGCACAAAAGGCTCAAACACAGGAATATTGTTCAGTATCTCGGCTCAGTCAGTCAGGACGGTTTCATCAAGATCTTCATGGAAGAAGTACCCGGAGGTTCAAACTCTTCATTTTAAACCTTTTAAATACTCTTATCTAACAGTAAGATTAAGTCATTGTCTGAAACTTTGTCCTTTCAAAGACTGGAAACTTACAAGAGCAACACCGTATTTTTCGGACTATAAGACGCACTTAAAATCCTTTAATTTTCTCAAAAATCGACAGTGAGCCTTATAATCCGGTGCACCTTATGTCAAGTCAACTTTATTTACAGAGCACATTTAAAACAGAACCTGTTATCAAAGTGCTTAACAACAACCATGTATTATGTATTAATTCTGGTTTTGCTAATCGACCTCGAATCGATTTTATGTGGTACACACGTTGCTCAAAATTCTGTCAGAATGAACTTGTTTCCCTCTTATAATCCGGTGCACCTTATAGTTTGAAAAATACGGTAAACAGCTTTTAAGTTTGAATTTTCCTTATAAGATAACTGTTACAAGATGATGCCTTTATTAGACATCAGTGACAAAATTGTGCAAATAAATATAGATGGGCGCAACTGGTAGAGCTGCTGCCTCTCAGCGAGCAGGTCCCTGGTTCAAACCCCGGTCCAGTGGCCTTTCTGGGTGGAGTTTACATGTTCTCTCTGTGCATGCGTGGGTTTTCTCCGGGTACTCCGGTTTCCTCCCACAGACCAAAAACATGCATGTTAGGCTGATTGGTAACTCTAAATTGTCCCTAGGTGTGAGTGAGAGAGTGAATGGTTGTTTGTCTCGTTTGTCTCTATGTGGCCCTGTGATGGACTTGCGACCCGTCCAGGGTGTACCCCGCCCCTCGCACAGTGATTGCTGGACATGGGCACCAGCGACCCCCGTGACCCAAAATGGAACAAACGGGTAAAGATAATGGATGGATGGATGGATAAATATAGATGTGATTATGCAACATGTTCAGGAAACCAGTTTCAAAGTGGTGGGTGTTTCCAAAAATATCCTGCTTACAGAGGAAAACATTGTCAGACAATGATGCAATTTTCCATCAAAATGAAAAATGTCTGATACATATGATGGTTTGGTAATGACAGTTTGACAATAAATTGTTTCATATTTTAGTGTAAGTAGAACGCCATACTTAAAAAAAAAATATATATATATATATATATATATTATCATCTTTGTAATCTCATTTTATACCAAAAGATAATTCTAAGCTTGTTAATTGTGGTATTCTTACCCTTAGGCAGTTTGTCGTCTCTTCTACATGCTAAATGGGGTCCTCTAAAAGACAATGAGCCCACCATCATCTTCTACACCAAGCAGATCCTCGAAGGGCTCAAATACCTGCACGATAATCAGATCGTCCACAGAGACATTAAGGTGAGCCGAGTGTGGGATTGGTTCTTGTGTCCTGAAGACAATTGACCTTAACTATTAATCACAGGGTTACAGTGATGTTTATTTCTGTTCTTCAGGGGGACAATGTGCTGATTAACACCTACAGTGGAGTGCTGAAGATCTCAGACTTTGGAACATCGAAGCGACTAGCAGGGATTAACCCGTGCACCGAAACCTTCACTGGTGAGAGCTGAACGTTTCTGTGGGAATGGCTGAGAGTAGCAGCATTTTCTGACCGCTGCGCTCATTTGTTGTTTAAAGGGACTCTTCAGTACATGGCTCCAGAGATTATAGACCAAGGACCTCGAGGTTATGGGAAGCCTGCAGACATCTGGTCCCTGGGGTGCACGATTATAGAAATGGCAACAGGCAAAACACCCTTTCATGAGCTGGGAAGTCCTCAGGCAGCCATGTTTAAGGTAAATAAAGCAAAGAGTTGTGTTTATGTTGACATGTTGACAGATAAACGTAAATACACAGACAGAAAGTTGGCTGCTTCTACTCGTGCACAATTGATACGTCCTGCAACAACTCACCTAAAACACTTCCAGTTGGACTTCTCCTTCAGCGAGACTTCAGCAGAGATGCCAAACAAATTTTAGTTACAATTTGAAACTGAAACTGAATATAAATGGTTTAATTTTGCAGCTGTTTTGTGGCTGAAATGAGAGATTTTTGTATATTTTTATTAATTTATCTCTAAAGTTAAACTATAAACCAAATTAAACAAACCTTGGTTTTTTTTCAACTGTTAAGTGAGTTATTTCTTTCACACAAAAATCTGAGTTAATGGACATAATAATAATTTGGATGTTGCTTTAAATCATTGGTTCTCAAACATTTTGTTTTGCTCCTCTCTTTGGAGTGTAAATGTTTTTTAGGCTCAACAAACTAAAATGAACTGTAAATGTTGCAAAAAAAGCACAATTTTTTTACCATTTCTTTGTGATTTTGTTTTAAAAAAACAACTGTTTTTGTGGCTATTTGGGATGTATATTAATTTTTATTCCAAAATAAAGAACACATAAGAACTGCACTTTGCTAAAAGCATAAAAATAGGCAGCTTTATCAGTCTCTATTAGAAAAATAGACCAAAAAAATATTCAATCATCTTTTTAAAGTACTGCAAAAAGTAAAATATGTGCAAAGAAACACAACAAATATGTAAAGCTCAGTATTATGACAGTATTGAAGGTTGTCATGAGTTTATTTTAAATGTGGATTTTTAATTAAAACAACAACAATGTGAAGGTATTTGTCAGAAAGATTGATTCTTTTTATTAATGGGGGTTGATATCATGTTTATCACAATAATTTATTGACGGACTTTTACTGATGCTGTTTCTTGAAGGGATTATTAAAAAATCTTGAGTAGTTTTCATAATCCGAGTCTGTTTCAATTAGCATTATTTTATTTATCTTCATGTCAGCTTCCAGAGCTTTCAAACACACAAACATGTTTGTTTATTTGTTTGTTTTTTAATGCTTCTCTTCCATCTCTTCAATTTGAAGCAAGCTTTTATTTTTATTCTGTCCACATTTACACTCTGGCGCCTGTTGTGAGTAAACAGATGATCAGTGTGACAGTTTGTCCCTGGTTTAAAGTGGCGTGAACGAGATAAACTCCTCCTCCTCTGAATGTCATCACTTGTATCTGAATCATTCACCGTCTGAACACTGAGTGGATCCACAGGGAGAACCCGCCTTGCAGTTTGGCAACCCCTTGTTCAAACTTTATTTCTAACTACAAGTTTCATATTTATTTATAGCAGTAATATAAGCTTAACTTCCACACAGCCACAAAGAACAGTAACATTGTCTGTATTTAAACATTACTCTTCAAAATCTATCTTTAATCCTGCAACCATTCCAGGTTGGCATGTTTAAGATCCACCCAAATGTTCCGGAGTGCATGTCCGATCAGGCCAAGGGCTTCATCATGCGGTGCTTCGAGCCAAATCCAGACCACAGAGCCACGGCTGCAGAGCTGCTCATGGACGCCTTCCTCAGGTCGTCTCCCAGGAAGAAGCCTAAAACTCAGCAGGAGTTTGAACCTAAAGATTCAGACCATGCCGGTAAGGGTTTGATTTACTACACACTTTTTTGGGTTAAATTCTTCATCTTAATTGTTTTCCATCTTTTTGTAGCTTTAAAGCAGTTTATTTATTACCGTACTTGCCGCCGCACACGTCGCGCCGCCGTATATGTCACATCAGTCCAAATATGTCTAATAAAGTGGAAAAAACAATGAATAAGTCGCTTCACCGTACAAGTCACATCTATTACAGTATGTGTCACCGCTGACCACTCTGAAACGTGGGCCGGTGTTGTGCCAAAAAGTGATTGGCTGCCAAATGGCAGCTGCGGTGCGTGCACGGGAGGACTTTAATAAGAATTTAACAAGATTAACACTTAAAAACAATTATTTGTTTGCTCGAAATTATAGCAAAGGTGTGTCTCAGTTGAACTTTTCCTTCATTAATGCACTTTAAAGGTTAAATCAGCTACATTTCAAAAGCCAATTCGCGGCTGTGGGAGCACGAAGTTACGACTCGCCGTGCATTTCATCGAATTTAACAAGATAACCACCTAAAAACAATTATTTGTTTGCTCAGCATTATAGTAAAGGTGTGTCTCAGTTGAACTTTTCCTTAATAAATGCACTTTAACAGTCAAATCAGCTGCAATTCGCCTGGGCGGGCGGCACGGTGAAATGCAGCTGATTTGACATTTGCTCCATGAGTTCTGGAGCGAGACGAAGGTGGTTTGTATGGCAAGCCAAATGTCTCATTAATAGCCACTTTTACCTAATAATGAGACACTTGGTTTGCCTTATTACTCGAGCACCCTTAATTGGCTGAAAATAGTAGTGTTCAATATTTTCCATGTCAGAATGAATGAAATCATCAGATCTCAGCCAAAAATTGGGTTATAAATATGGGGGAAAAAACATAAGTTGCTTTGCTGTATAAGTTGCAGGGCATGCTAATTTATGCAAAAAGGTGTGACTTGTACAGCGAAAAATACGGTAGTTTGGATCATTTTGACAGTACCACCACACTGCCTTTATTTTAATTTGTTTTACTTTCAGTTCTTGTAATCTTGTTGTTAGTTGTGTGGAAAGTGTGCATTCTGAAACTTATAAAATCTCTAACCATCGTCTCTCTGGGTTTCACAGCTGATTATCACCGTAGCTTGTCTGTGCCCATCTCCATCCTTGTGGAGGACACTGAATTGTACTCGGGCCCTGTTGACTTGGCTTGTTCGCTGGACCTCAGAAGGCACCAGTCAGCCCTCAGAGTGGATGACGTCTCCCAAAGCCCCCCCTCCACCAACAGCTTTCTGTCGTGAGTGATAACACCGCACTTAAGAAAATCAAAGCCTGATTGTTTCAGAGCCAAACCACGCTCAGGTTTGAGTTTTAAACTCATGGTAAACCAAATCCTTCCTGATTAAAAACTGGGATTCTACTGCAACAGTTGAAAACCCCACATGACTCGCTTCTTTTCATCATCCTGTGATTTTTTTATATATATTTTTTTTATATATTGGCACATCCTCAACTTTTCTCTTCTTTATGAGTTTGCGGATTATGTCTGTTTCTTGCCTCCTGCTGTGCAGAATACCCGACGACTCAGCGTTAGACATGTGCAGTCCAGCCTCGACGGAGGAGAGTATCGGACTTTTCATGCTGCGCAAGGATAGCGAGAGGAGAGCGACGCTCCACAGGATTCTCACAGATGACATCAACCATGTCGTCTCTAATATACAAGAGTCTTTGCCTCAGGTGGGGGAGGGAAACGGCAACATAAATCATTTAGTTTTCACCCAAGGTGTCAGCTCTTGGGTTAACTGTTATTGTCTAAAAATTAAACAAGTTTTTATGGTTATTAGAAATTGTGACAGTATAATTTTAAATTTGAACACCATTCAGATTCAAAGTCTTTTTTTCCTCCTTTGTAAGAATGATGAGGGGTCATCACTGAATGCAGACCACATCGTCAGCCTTATCACCTGTTTGCGGGACAACATCCAGTCTCCAGACAGAAAGCAGCTGACCTCTGGCCTTCTGGATCTTCGCTCTGCTCTTTTAGCTGCAGCAATACCTTTGAACAGCCTGCAGGTGGTGCTCTTTAACTTCCAGGATGCAGTAAGTCCCTTATGAGACAGGATTTTTGCAGTAATGGAAGTCCAACACCCACCACTATTTCATATTTCATATCCAGCAAAATATGATAGAGACCTAAAAAAATAAACACCTATGTTCTGTGGTAAATATTAAAAAGTAACACAAACTTGTTTTAAAAATGAATATGTGAGTTTTCTAGCTGGTTCTTTGGAAACAGCCCTTCACTTCCTTATATGGGCTGTGACATCATGGCTGTGTCCGGATCAGGCGAGACGTTCAGTTTTTTTTTTATTGCATGCCAGTCATTTCTGGCAAGAATACTCGTGGCAGGAACAACACGCTGAATGAGTGTGTTGCGCATTTCTGTGGAAATGCAGCCAAGGAGGAAGTTAGCTCCAGATATTTCCCAAAAGTCAGACGTTCAGGAGAAATGAGTAAAGTTTCACCGAGCAGACTTCATTGCACCAGCGCCTACCAGTGTTCTGAACATTTTCAACCTGAGGATTACGAGTCGGCCATGATGCAGGGATTTAGATTTTAAGGGAAAGTATGGCACCAGACCCAGGAATGTGGCTGTGCCAGCAATTCAGGCAGATCCACTGTTCACAGGAACCTGGGAAACCACCAGCTCCTCATCTCTATCCCACTCTAAAACAAATAGATCTCCCACTTTCTCCTCAGTCATCAGAATCTGTTTTCCTCCTCCATCTTTACCTTCGAGCCTCCCTCTTCTGTCTGAGAAGGTTCCGATAGTGCTGCTCCGGCCTCTTTACTCACTGAGTCGCCATCGCCCGCCAAACTCCCTTCAACTTTTGCATCTTTCGCTTCCTCCTGTAGATTTTTTTTATACTTGACAAATGACTTCAAGCCTCACTCAGAAGGGTGGGGCGAGGTTGTTTATTCGGTGGGGGTGCGGGTGATAGCCAAGAGGGGATGGAGATATTTTGTTCGCTGCAGCCACCCACTCCACTGCTTCAAATATGACTATAATTTTCAGAAAAAAGATGTGCAATGAATTATTTATCTTAACTCTGGTTTTACTTGACCTAGGAGCACAATTTAAAAACTGGTTTATAGTTTAAAGTTTTTACTTCTGACACATATTAAAATGCATTCTCAGAGTGGCTGTGTGTACAGCGACTGAAATCGCTCATGTGATTTGAAAAATGCCGCCAGAGGGTTAAAAGTATAATGGTCCTGATCAGATTACTTTTTGATAAAATGTTTATTTTATTGTAAACACTAACACATACGAGCCTGTGTTCTCAAGGGAAGGTCCGTCCAGGACGGATGAGTCTTGTCATGGAGCTGCCTCTTCTTGCCCTCTTTGCTGAGCAGTAATTTTACACCAAACAGTTCTTAGTTCTTCATCGCTTGATACTGTATCCTCTAAATCACTTGAACTTTCTCCAATGAAATCGTCCTCACTACCGCCATCAGGAGGACACTCTCCTGCCTGTGGCTCGTCTCGTTCTTGATATTAGCCGTGTGATTGGGTGTTTTCATAACTGGTTTGTGATTATTTTATTTTTTATTTTTTTTACACTTGTCTAGCCTGAATGTGGAAAATATATATAACCATCGTATTCTACAGTAACTACCCATTCAGGGCACTTGAGACTATAGTGGTGGGTGCTGGACTTCAGTCAGCTGTAAATGTATCAGCGTTATTCAGCTGTTCACGTTGTGTAGGTGAAGAAGGTGTTGAAGCAACAACTGGTGAAGCCTCACTGGATGTTTGCTCTGGACAACCTGCTGAGACAGGCAGTTCAGGATGCCATAACTGTCCTACTACCAGGTAATGCTGTTCTATGCTCTCACTGACCATGTTTTAGTTGCACCTGTTCGTTATTGTTTAAAGCAAATATCTCATTAGTCGGCTAGCACAGTTAGCAATCAGAAGTTATCTGTAAAACCTACTGAAGTTCAAATCAGAAACCAACATGAAAGGAAAATATTGAAGTTGGGCTGCTTTTCATTTTAGAGAATTTCAGTAATTTGGGATTTTTATACCTAAAATGTTCTTATTCAACATGTAAATATGAGCCAAAAAGTAGTTTTTTGGGGGGGCTAAAAAATATAGCGGAAATTAGCAAATAAGGGTTACATTCAGAACTGGTGGACAAACCAGAAATGTTACAAATAATTAAATACTAATGCGTTTCTAAAGTTAAACCCCTCCAGTTTGTCTAAATGATGTGAATGGATGAGAAAATTGCACCTTAAAAGTTCTGCCTGCAGTTTTTCATCTTACCATAGTGCAAATATGGACTAAAAACTAAAATCAGTGTAGAACCTTGTTTTGTGTCTTTACTGTTTCTCTTCGTTTCCAGTAGCCATTTGGACTTGATTCCAGTTTTGTTGATTTGTTTGTTTTTGTTGTGCGCCTCTCTCTGATCTTCTTGCCCGTTAGAGCTGAAACTCCATCTGCAGTCGTCGTTTGAGGCCGAAGACCTCAACTCGGACAAGCAGGCCGCAGATCCAAGTCCTCCGGTAGTTTCAGTTCCTGACCAGCTGGTGGCGCCAGCAGGACTTGTATCTGGGCATGGGTCTCCAGTCAGTTCTACCTCCTCTACTGATGTCATCATTGTCAGCACCTCTGCCATCAGCGAGAAACTGAGGGCCGTGCGAAAAGAGACCAGCAGGTATCCTTCAGCTGCATTCATGATTCTGTGACGAGAACACATTCGATGATGGCTTCATTTTATTAATTATATATATTTATTTCCTATCTTACCATTTTAAATGTAATCGCTCAGCTTTATTAATAAATGTGCAAACTATAGCACTGTTTGTCGTGGGTGGATGCTGAGAGGTGACGGCTGTTTGCGTTGTGTTTCAGGCTGTTGGAGCAGCTGAGTGAGAAGGAGCGAGAGTACCAGGAGCTGCTGAGGAGCTCCGTCCAGAGGAAACAGGAACTGATCGATGCACTGAGGAGATCAGCTGCCGGTGAACGTAAAGCTGTTCTCATCCTAAAGTTTCATACACCCATCTGGATACAAGCAGCTAAACCATTATTAAATCTATATCAACATGTACTGTGGGAAATAACTATACCATGAAATTACTTGTTATTGTGATACAAGTAGAAAAAAGGAGAGGAACAAAATGCAAAGCAGAGATTTAAAAATGTTTCGTTGAAACTAATGCTGCTTCTTTGGCCATAGATAATTAATGTTGCTCTTTCCTTATTCTTAAATTTATGCACAGCCCCCCAAAAAGTAAAGTGACGGCTTCATTTTGCTTTGTTGACTCCTAAATAAACAACTCATTAGATAAATCACTTGTAGTTGCTAATAGTTAATTTGTGTTTTAACTAAGCGATCTATGCAACTAATGGTAACATGTTTAATGGAAAGCAATAAGATGAGTAAATCTGGATGAATTTATGTTTCTATTTTTGCACATTAAACCTAGAGTCTAGTATAGGATTTCTCACTTCAGCAGTGCTTCAAATGCAGCATTAATACATTTTTAATTTAGCAGTAACTTAAGTACATTTTCTTTCTTAAATCCTCCTACAAGTTATACCAGAATAATTAATTCATTTAAACTAAAATATCTAAGTTTTTTTACCGTTATGTGTCTTTTTTTAGAATCTAGCTTTTGTGAGAATCATTTGTTCAGCTACTTTAGGTTTTAGAAATTGGTTCTAACAACACAAAACAAGTAAAAATTAAATAAATAAATTAAATGGTTTATCTTATAACACGCATTGAACTAGACTCGTGAGCTTAAACGGTCATTTACTTTGGTCTGCTGATCCGTTTTAACACTCGATTAGTTAATTTGACGTTATCAAATCTAAAGATGGAAAAAAAAAAAAATTCCCAGTTTGATATCATTTCACTATGGGTAATAGATTATAGAATGGTATAGTTAAGTACCACAAAAGATGTGAGCCTGTAGGAGCTCATTCTATAATCTGGCATTAAGCTGCAGTCTGAGCAGTATCACATCAGAGGACCGAGCCTCAGGGATTATAATTACGGTTTCTTCACTCTTGCTGCAGTCGGTCCCAACCACGCCTCAGTTTCAGGCTTATTTCTGCCAGAACTGGTTTTTGTCTGAGGTGTGGGCTGTAGATCTTCAGCCACTGTGCCCAGACTTGACTTGTTAGTCTGAATAAAGATTATATAGTTTAGTGTTTTGTAACAAGAATGTTTACACTACCTAATACTCCATAACTTTGTGTTAAGGTCAGACAAAGCCTAATAACAGTTTTTCCTCGTTACAGAAGGTGAGTTGTCCTCGAAGAAGTTCTTGAATGTAGAGATAAGAAGTTTGGTTCACTGGCTCAAGTCTGTCCCGGTGGATCAGGACACTATTGATAAGGTAAGCTCAGCTGAAATTCTTATTTAATTTTTCATTATTTGTCCCTGAGGCGTGTTGGCATTACTCATTTGTTTATCACATTTGTCTCATCCTGTTTGTTAGTTGCTCTCTCATCAGTTCACCTTGGACTGTCTCCTCAACATGGCCTCCAGGGACGACCTGATGTACTGCGGCTTAAGGTGAGCCGCCTCCGCTCATCATCCTCACACCGTGTGCCCACGCAGAAACAAAAACACGTTGTCTCGTGTGCAGCGCACGTTTAAAATGATGCAGCAGAAATGAATTAAGATGCAGCAGCTGCAGTTCTTTTGTGCTGATTTAGACGTGAAGGATTCAAACCTCGCACTAACGGTTATAATTACCAAATTTTGCCCGTTTTTAAAAATATATATTCACAATAAAAAGTAAAAAAAAAAAAAAGATAATAATAATAAAAGCACCAGAACTATCTGTTATCCGTCTTTGGAAATCTATATCCTCCAGGATTTTGAACAAATATTTGCACAAATAGAACCCAACCAAAAAAAGAAATGCGGTTTATCTTTTGTTGTATTAAACTGAATATAGTTTCTTTGTATTTATTTTCTTGATTTCTACTATGCTGTATCACAAAAAGATCACATCTTTTCTACAATATCTCAGTTTAAAGTACATTGCAATTGTTTTCTACAAAAATTTTAAGTGAGCTAAAAAAAAGCTTTAGTTTTGTGTGTTGGATTGTTAAATTACCGTAATTTCCAGACTATAAGCCACTAGTATTTTCACAGGTTTTGAACTTGGCAGCTTATACAATGCTGCAGCTAATTTATGGATTTTTAAAAATATATATATTTTTTTTTGACGGGCTAACGAGCTTCATGTTTCCTAAACGTTTGACCTCATTACACCTGGGCGCTCACATAGCTGCCCAATACACGTCTCTTTTGGTGGGTGGGTCCTCGTGACTCAATGAGAATACCTGTATAAATAAAGGTTAAAAAAGATCTGACCAATGAAATTAACAAACAGGTCACAGTGTCTCTATGAGCGCAGGAGGAAGGTGAAGATAGTAATCAATACTTCCTGGTAGGCTACTGTATTTTTTATATTTTAACCAGCCGTGTTACAGGCACTGTTCAGATAAAAAACAAATATTTACTGTACATACTTTTGTATGTTATACACACGTAAAGCCTATATATGTAAAAAAAAAAAAAAAAAATGAGTGGGTGTGGCTTATATTTAGATGCACTCAATCGTCCAGAAATTACAGTATTTGTTCATATTAAGAAATATTTTTTTTGTTTTTGATAACGGTTCCAATCAGCACCTTAGCAATGATCAATTAAGAACAAGAAAAAATGCTTACCTATTGTATTTTTCCGCCGTACGTCTCACCACCCTATAAGTCGCATCAGTCGAAATATGTCTAAAAAAGTGGAAAAACCATAAATACGTCCCTTTGCTGTATATGTCGCATCTATTATGCATCATTGCTGACAACCCGGGAATGTGGGCCAGCGTTGTGCCAAAAAATCTATTGTCTGCCAAATGGCGGCCGCGGGAGTGTGCATGGGAGGACTTTAACAAGAATTTAACAAGATTAACACTTAAAAACAATTATTTGTTTGCTCCAAATTATAGCAAAGGTGTGTCTCAGCTGAACTTTTACTTAATAAATGCACTTTCATGGTCAATTAGCTGCATTTCTCCGGGGCGGCGCAGCGAAATGAAGCTGATTTGACGGTTTCTCCAGGTGAGCTGGACGAAGGTGGCGGACTATGGCAAGCTGATTATGTCATTAATAGCCACTTTTACCTATTACATGACGATGGCATGCTATATTGTTCGAGTGCCATCTGGCTGAAAATGGTAGTGTTCAATATTTTCAGTCAGAATGAATGAAAACGGTCGTATCTCAGCCAAAAATTGGTTTATAAATATGGAGGGAAAAATCCAAATGTACGTCGCTTTGGCGTATAAGTCGCAGAGCATGCAAATTACGCAAAAGAAAACTGTGACTTATAGCCCGAAAAATACGGTAAATGCTTTCATGGATTAGAATAAAAAAAATTGCAGTTCTCAGTTCGTCACCAGTCAAACAAACAACAACAAAAATGGTTGCAGAAAAGTTGCATTCAAATGTTCATTTTGTGTCCATCGTGGTTTTCAGAGGCGCCATGCTGTGTCGAGTCTGGACGGCCATGACGGCTCACAGGAGAACCCGTCTTAGCACGCACAAGGAGGAAGGCGAGGACACTCACCTCTAATGGCTGCTGATGCTGTGCATCAAAGGACAGCTTCACTGACAGGCGGGTCCTGTCTGATCTGCAGGAAACCAAGCGTCACACAAAGCAGGAAGGCTATTACTATCTGTGAATGTAGTTTTACTTCTTTTTTTTAATTTCACTGACAATACCAGTTTGGAGCATGTAAGCTTGATTTTGTATTCCTAACTTTAGTTTAACGTTTTTTTTAATATTGTCTCAGGGCTTTTGCAAATGGGACTGATATTAGTATTAATTTGTTAATAAATAAATATAATTTGTGTCTTCCACTGGTAGCATTTTACTGTTTTATTTTAAAAAAAAAAGATTAAGTTATTGGGGGTTTAAAAGATAAATCCTGTTGTATTGTATTGTAAGGAAAAACATGGATTATTTGTGCTTTAAACACTAAAAGTATCATCTCATCTGTGAGCTGCCGGTTGTTTGGAACAACCAGGACTTGGCTTTTCCAGTTTTATCTTATTTTTTTTGTTTAAGGGAGTGACGTTGAATGGAAAAAGTGGTGAGGAGTCTTTAAATTCCTCATGTGTCCTCTCATGTTTTCACAGTGTTGACGTCTCCTTAGAAACAGTGGCATGAACTCACTTAGTGGATGCGTTCACACACAGGAGGTCTGCAGTTTGGTTTGTAGGCCGTGTAGGTAAAAACTTCTTATTTAAGATTTTATGATCAATTTCTCAACATATGAGTAATGTAGTTTAGCTTTAGACTAGAAGGGTGTCGGTATTTCAAAGTGGAATGTAATCAGAATCAGAACATTAAATCATATTCTAGCCGCCTAAGCAGGCGTTTTGTGCAATAAGATAATTTTTTCCAAATGTGTCATCACTGCCTGTTTCTGGAGATCTGTCAGATAGGAGGTTAAAAATATGCGTGTCTGCTCTCGTCCGTCAGTGAGGAGGTGACTTCAGTGACAGTACGGGTTTGGTTCTGTCTAACAGCGACATTCATTTGTGTGAGCAGCGATCTGCGTTTGCACAGAAAAAAAAAACAAACTTGAGTGTTCTTGGGAAAATTATACATCCGGTATGAGAACAACTGAACAGAGAATGTTCAGTGCGCAAAATATGATTGACAGTTTGACAAGGACTCAAAAAACGAGTCCAGCTTTGTAACGTTTTTTGGTACCACTTTACAATGAGGCTCCCCTTATAGATGGCTAATAAAAAGTTTATAGATGCATTATAAATTCCTCTATAAACACTTTATAAATCATTAGTAATTGTTTATTATGCATTTATTAAGGGTGACGGAGACAAAACTGACCAGTTTCTTGCCAAACTGAGGTAAATCTGTTCACCTATATATTTCATCTAGAGTTATATTAAATTATATTGTTATTTTTTTAGGATATAATATTAGTTGTAGCTATAATACAGGGATATCTTATTTTAAAGTACAATATTACTGGTATATGCTAAAAAAGGTTTACAAATGCTTATTGTGCTTACAAGGAAGTAACTTAGTCTGAAATGTTTAATATAACAACTCTAGATGAAATATGTGGGTGTCACCCGTAATTAATGCTTAATAAACAAGTATTAATGCTTTTTAAAGTGTTTATAGAGGCATTAACGTATCTGTAAGCTGTTTATAAGCATCTATAAGGGGAGCCTTATTGTAAAGTAGAACACATTTTTGTTACTAAATGCAACAAACCAGAAGGGTCCATTAATGAATGACAATGAGATGATTAATGTTTACAAAGGGCTTCAACACATTTTCAGTTTTAGTTCATTTGTTTCAAATCATGGGTTTTGAGTAAAAGCAGCATAAAAGTGAATGAAATGCAAGAAGATCAAGTTAAGATTCAGTCCCATAGCTCAAGTTCTGAGACTGCCTTCACATTCAGAACGGTTTCCAGTCTATCAGCTGATTTTAAATATAATTCACTTACAGTCGATCTGACATCAGCATGTAATGTGTTTACATACAAGACACTTTCTGTTTCTAAATCGGAACAGTTATATTTTAGTTCATTTAAAAAAAAACACCTCGCCACTATCCCACATTCCCAAAATTTTCCATTCTTAATATTTTTTACGCTCAACAAATCAGAAGATGACTCAATGAGCCAAGTCAGGCATTTTTCCCTTTTGTATCCTTGGATGAGTTTAGAAATCCTGTTAGTTCTCAAATAAAACCAACCAACTGAATTTGGCATCATCCAATATTTTTATTTTTATCGGTAATTTTTAACTTAGGAAACTAAACTAGAACAAATCTATTCCTGACTTTGAATCTTTCAGGCAGATTTCTTATTGACAAATTGAGGTTATATTCATTGAGCTTTATTGTGACAGCTGTCACTTTAATTGACTTCTTACTGTCATACAGAATGAGTGCACGTCCCTGAGCTTCATTTAGTAATTACATTTCCTGTGAAAATGCAGTGTGAATGTTTAATGCAGAATAATGCTGAAAAACAGCTGAAATTAGCTTTAAATAACATGCTGAGTAGCTGAAAAGGAAGAAAAAGCCTACATTATCAGAATAAAACAGAAAGACACATAGTTGCTGAATTAGGTTTAAATAAGCAGAAATAAGCACAAAAATTTGGAAATAAGCTTAAAAAGTAGCTGAAATGAGCTCATAAAATGTGGAATTAACTGAAAAAGCTAAAATTAGCATCAAAAGAGCTAAATAGTGGCTGAAAGAGCAGAAAAAGCTGAAACTAGCAGGAAAAATCTGAAAGGAGCATAACAAGCTGAAATTGGCTGAAATAAGTTACAAGCACAAAAATGTAGTTAGCTGAAAGAATCTAAAAGGTGCACAAAACAGCTAAAAGTAGCTGAAAAAAGTTTAGATTTACACAAGGAATCTGAAAGAAGCTGAAGCAGAACAAAATGTAAAAGCAGCAGTAAAAGACTAAACAGATCTAAAGATCTGAAGGATGTAAAATGAGCTCAATTCATTTTCTATGAGGAAAAAAGGGCAGAAAAGGCTAAATATTTAAAAAAGCTAAAGTTGCACCAATACCAAAAGTCATAGCGCCCTTCTGAATGTTTGATATGATTTGTTGAAATAGCGCAAAAATTGTGGAACGAAAAAGATGCCGAAAAATGGATCACAATAGTGTGGTTGCTTCATAAACGTTCACACAATCAGCTCTGTAACGCAGCAGCATTAGCATTGTATAACTGGTTACATGAAAACTGTAACATCCTGGTTTTTATAGATCTCTCCTTGTCGGTTCGTAATCCCCCACCCCCCCACCCCATCTCTGTTCTGTCTGAAGGTGCACTTAAACCACTGACAGGCGAGTAATGAGGACTGCTGCTGTCAGAGGGGGATTGAGGGCACAACGAGGTTCCAGGATTAAATTCACCCTCTCTCTCTTACTACAGGTGACCCCACTGTGATGCCTTTGTCCATGGCAATATTAAACTGAACATTTATGAACTTGTAACATGCTTCAGACGCCCACAGCTGACCTGAAGTGTAAATTAAGTCTAACAGACAGTTGAGCAGGCTTTTTACAACTTTATGTTTGATAACAGCTTTAGGACCTGTCTGTAAAAAGCAGGCCATCTGACTTGAGCTTTTCCGCATCGGGTGTCCCTGCAACACAATTTCTTTTACGGTGGAATAAAAATGAGCAACACAGTCACATGATGAGCACATTCTTTGAATTACTGTCACACACCTGAGCGCCGGAGACGGTGTGTTAAACGTAAACCAGCAGCTTGATTAACGCCATTTTTCTGTTGTGTTCAGATTTTATTCATAAATGTGCAGTTACTTTTAGTCGTCTCGAGCATTTTGTGTGGACTTTTTGAATCTTTATTGCCCTTGGGAGGAGGAAATGATCATTTTACAAGCAATTAACTTGAAGCTGGTGGTGTTATTTAACTAACTGCTTGGCGTCCAAAGGAGCGCCCTGTAGGGGAAAGTTAACGTCGTTCTTTGAGCAGAACCAAACAACCGGTGGCTCGTAAAGAACAGACAGTAACAGCTGTCTGCCTTTTATCAGACTGATTATTACAGCGAGGCAGAAAGTGTAGAATTAATCCTGGCTGTAATCCAAGCACTCGAATTAAAAATTAATCCTATGTAATGTGTGTTTGAGTGTGTTTGTGTTGCAGAATTCTGCTTAGGTTTGACCCCGAGACCTTTCACCCGTCGTTAATCTGCGTTGTGTTTGCATCACAGTGACAGCCACTCTCGCTCAAGTGACTGAATCGATGATTTTGGCGGCTGATCTGGAGATCTTTAGACCTGACCGGAGAAGAAAGGGAAAACAGTTTTCAGTGAAGCGCGTTCGTGGAGTTAGAAAAACAGAAAGTTATATTTTTGGCTGAAGTAAAACAAGATATTCTGAACCATCTTTCTAAATTTGACGACTTTTTAAAGTTTTTGACCTTTCAAATTTCACCTCTCTGGGCGGCTGTGGCCGAGTGGTTAGAGCAGTCGTTCTCCAATGCAAGAGTTGGGGGTTCGAATCCACCAGTAGTCACATTCCAAAGTGTCCCTGGGCAAGACACTGAACCCCTCGTTGCCTCCGATGTGTGTCCCATCAGTGAATGTGATCTAAAGCACCGATTAGTCTCTTTAGAATGATTTGTTCAATTAGCTTTGTAGAGATCTAGTAGAGTGCTGTATGAATGGGTAAATGAGGCACAGATTGTAGTGTAAAGCGCTTTGAGTATCTCGATAAAATAGAATGGCACTATATACTATTATCTATCTACCATCCATTTACTTCGAGGTTACATTTTTAACTAAAGGCCTTGCATTTTGTGAAGGAATGCATGTCAAGGTTCAAGTTTATTGTCATTCGTATCACATGTAGTACATGAAGTGGAACGAACTTGTGTACTCAGGGTCCCATTTACACCCAAAATTAGCAAAAAATATAAAGTATAAAAAGAAACGGTATATAAGGATCTAGGATTCACGCTAAACACTAATAATGTAAAATAATACAGTATATCAAACAGCAGCCCGGACATGAGTCTGTGGTGAGCAGATGGTATGAATGAATACAGCAGCATGAGAGCAGCAGCACGGATAATCAGCAGCACAGAAAGTCACATATCACCAATTAAAGTGGCATTACATTGATTTTTATTCTTCCTCCTTACAGTGATCATCCTGGTTAGAGATTTATGAGTCTTAACAGCTTC